TACTTCCCAAATGTATTTAGGTGGATTTGCTAGGGGTGCAAATCTCCAGTGTTCTGCTTTCTGCACAAAACCCTGTGAAGGCAGGAGGGCCCCAGGCTGTATCCCTTAAAGCCAAGTCCTTAGGGTGTTGCCAGGAGCTCTGAAGGTCTCATGCCTGTGAAGGCAGGGGACAGGGAAGTTGTRATTGCCAGTGAAAGAATGGGGCAGCTTGACTGATAGCTGTCATTTGTGAGGCCTAGGGCCCATGCACACTCTGCTTCCTTCCTCCAGGCCCAGCAGATGACCCTTCAAGCCATGAGCATGTCCCAGCAGCAGCAGCTACAGCAGCGGCGCCAGCAGTCTCAGCAGTCTCCTGAGAACTCGAGGCAGAGAGGCTCAACTCCACCACAAGCCCCAGCCACTTCCCCCAAACCCAAGACGTCTCCCAGCACCCAGAATATTGCACAGCCACCAAAGTCTCCAGAAGCTCCAGCTCGGGCGGAAGAAACGGTACGAGGAGCAGATGGTGCTGGTGAATTGGGTTTGCAAGACGTGCTATGTTTGGTCTGCTCCCCTTCCACCCTGGCAGTGGTTTAGCAAAAAGGAATGCAGAGGGAGCTATTCCCATCTATGAAGCAGAAACCTTTTCAGTTTTACTTGCTGAGGCTTTAAGATACAGGGTCAAACCTTAGTGACATTTAGATCTGTTGGGAGTCAGCTGCGGTGCTGAATTGATACAGCCGATTCATTCCCAGCTGAGTTGAATTTCAATAGGAAACTCATCGTTTTGAGATCTTCATCCTCCAGCAAGCCGACTTGGTGCTATAACATCCYCTTCCTCCTCTGGACAGGGTTGATGTTTGCTTGGGTCAGAGCCCAGTCTCTTTGGACACTGCCAGATGAGGAGCAGTTCTGTGTTAGGGTCCAACCCTAGCGAGGGAAGGTCCTATTTTGAGTTTATGGTCACCCTGGAGGTGTCCCTGCTAATCTAACTGATATTGGGAACTGTTGCAGACTTCTGCCTACACAGGAGACCAGTTTTCTGACAGTGAGGATGATGACTATCTTCCAGAGACTTTCCAGCAGAAGAAAGAATATTTCCAGAAAATGGGTGAGCTGCTCCTGCTTTGGCTATCTCACTCATCATAGCATCTTGCTTTTCAGCTGTCCACAGCGTAACAGCAGAAGCCCAAAGTGGCCCAAAACTGGCAACTCACAATCTTAACTGCAGCCAAACAGACATACAAAGTTCCTGATACATATAGTGCCACAAGACCCCACAGGGATCAGCTGGATTCCAAAGATTGTGAGTTGCCAGTTTTGGGCCACTTTGGGCTTCTGCTTGCCCATACTGGTTTTAGTCCTTGCAAAGCATGGGCTTCTGCTGACTGATGCAAGGGTGGGTGGGGTGTCCTAGTCTAGGTGTCTGTTATGGGTTTAATGAGCTGGGCTTCCCATTTCTGTGCAGGACAGCAACACATCCGAGTGAAGAAAGTCAGGCCTCCTTCTAAAACCTGGACTCCTCCAGCAAATCCCCAGCCAAAAGAGGAAGAAGGGAAGGAAGAAAAGAAAGAAGAAAGGAAGGAAAAAGAGAAGCCAAGGCCTAAAACGGAGCCAGGTAAGGTGACATGCAGTGGGGATCCGAGCAAGCTGACAAGCAGAGCTTTCCAGAAATGAACATCAGCCTAGGATATAGGAAAGAAAAGATCAGTCTGTTCTGCAAGTCTGCATCTCGAACAGAGGAGCAAGAGAAAGGCCTGGGCTTTATGAAGTGAGATGTCAAAGCAAGGCACAGGAAGGCCAAGTCCAGTTGCGTGGGAGTGAAAAGCAGGGACCCTCAGATGGGAAATAAAGACTTGGTCCTGCCCTTTTGCTGCTCTGTTGGTTAAAACTCTCATTCGCAACAGCTGCTGCTCCTAYTCCTGCGCCAAAGCCCCCAAAGCAGCCGCCCCCAGCGAGGAAGGAGCCGCCTGTGGTGAAGCCCTCGGGCCCCGAGTCGCGGCCTGCGCCCAGCCGGGAGATYGGCAACATCATCAAGATGTACCAGAGCCGGCCAGCCCCCGAGCCCCAGCCCTTCGAGCCCCTCCGGTGAGAGCGGGCAGCCCCCTGCCTGGGCAGCCATGGGGAGGAGGGGGGCATGTCGCAGCAGTGCCCCAGGACTGCGTTGCAGCCATGGTCCCACTGAAGCTACCCCGTTTTCCCTTGTCCGCAGGAGAGCGTCTAAGCCCTTCATGAAGAAGAACGACCCCAAGGACGAGGCCCTGGCCAAGCTGGGGATGATGAATCTTCAGTCTCCCAAATCGGTGAGTTTCTCCCTCTCTGATGGGCTATGAGCTCAGCAGAGGGAGCCCGTGTTTGCAGCCTGCAGTGAGTTGGGAGCTGTCTGGTAGTGAGATAGGAGCCAGTGATTTCTTTTTCAGATCACAAGAGAGCTGTGGGCTCAGAGCCTGTGGTTCTGCCTATGTCAGAATGCCTYCTGGTCTGTAAAGCTCCTTGGGTCTGGAGATAGGTTTTGCTGTCTTGCAGCCACCCCCTGGGCCGCCGGAGAAGAGCCCCAAAGGCAATCCTCCGCCTCCCCCACCCAAGAAGGGCTCCGCTTCCAGCTCCATCAGGGAGAAGCAGATGCCTCTCCTGTCCCTCTTTGGTGACCCACCAAGTACTCCTCCAGCCGCTCAGACCCCTCCTGCTCCCCCACCCTTGCCCGCACCCCTCTTTCCTGGGGACCAAGGCCAGCAGGAACCTGCAAAGAAAGGTGAGTGACTTTGCCAGAGCTTTTGTGGGGTTTTGGGGCAGCTGGAGAGTCAGATTCAGTCAGTGGCCAGGGCATGAGGAAGGTCACAGCATGTGCTCTTTTGTTTGCTGGAGACCGAGTGGGCTCCAAGGAGAGGCACGAGAGTGTGTGAAATCAGAGGCTGTCATGACAGTTGCTGGTCCAGATCAAACTCCTTTCTTCCCAGTGCAATGCAGGACACCAGGCAGGAATGATGAAGGAAGGGCTGGGTATCTTTAAAATATTCAATTAAAAATGGACCTTTGGGCTTTATCAAAGTCCAGCCCACAACACATTTTATTGCCTGCCTGAAACATAGTTGCTTTATCAAAGTTGCAGTTCAAGGGGCAGACTTTAGACTAAAGAGGAATGAAAAGGGAGGTGTTCAACCTTGTAGAGTGTCTGGAGGGCCCTTAGAGACGAGCTAAGGAATGTGGGAGTGGTTCTTGAGGGAGAATGGGAGCTGGGGAGACTCTTGGCATTAGAGTATGTTTGGTTGCTGAAAAATGGGGTAGGTAGTGCTTCCAATCAGTGTTTCGGAAGTGTTATTCCTTATTTTAGAAGTACTATTGGAGATGATCTTTCTTCTATGATGGCTGTTTTGTGCACATATCCACATGAGTTGATTGCTGACCTTGAAGAGGCTTCCTGCCCATAATCTTCCATGAAACCCATGGCGCTGTCCCCTTTCTTTTGGTAGGGCAGAAGAGTGGGAAGGTGCCTCTATAGTCACCCAACCCCATTTTTACCTCTCTCTCTTCCTCCCCAGCCTCTACTGCGACAGTGGCAGAAGATGACGGTATCAAGACGCAGCTGTACAGGCTCACTGCCAGCGTCAGCTTCTCCTACGCCAAACCTCCATGGAAAATCTATCTGCGCAAAGAGGTGCGGTGCATTTGCTGAGCTCTTTCCCCTTTGCTTGTGACCCTTCACTTCTGGTTCTTCCATTCACCTTCACCGTGTCTGCTCTTCCACTCACTTTGGAGATGGACTCACCCCTCTGCCRTTAGGGCTGACAGATTCCAAAGCAACCCTGGTGAGCAATTTCTGCAGCATCTGTAATATAAATGTTGCTTTTCCTCTTCTCTTGCAGGTGTTTTACCCCAAAGAAAACTTCAGTCACCCCTATTGTCTGAACTTGCTGTGTGAACAGGTATTTACTGGTGTATGACTTGGGGCCCCTTGCCTATATATTGGGAGACAAAATATTCCATAATGACGCTACATAAGCTGTCTTCTACATCCACAGTAGTATTGGTCCCTCCTACCTAGGCAAGCCCCTCCTCTCTTCTCTTTGAAACCCAGCCTGTTCTACAACCACAGACACTCCAGCACATCGAGCTGCGCAACCATCTCTGCTTCCTTCCTTTGCAGATCATCCGTGACACCTTTTCTAATTCCTGCCTTCGAATCTCCAGGGAGGAGAAGCGCAAGATGAAAGATCTACTGAGTAATTAACAGTCCTGTCTTCCTTCCCTCCCTGTGCCAACCCCAGCTCTTGGTTTTGAGGGAGAAACAGGTCTCCAGGCTCTTTCAGGCAGGACTTAGAGCAGAGGAGATGTTTGTCACTGCAGCTAGAAAGCACGTTTGCTGTGTAGTTCAGTGTAGGAACATGAATTTATTCCAGATGGTCAGAATGTGCACCAGAATTTGAGACAAGAAAGCATAGTTCTGATGTGCTCATTGTGGAGGGAGAAAACTAAGGCATGCAGATGGGATTTTGAAGTGTCTTAATCCATCTGTCTCCTTTGGCCGGAGCTCCATGGTGGTAGTAGTGGTAGAGTGGTGGAGTGGTGGTAGAGGGTGTGTGCAAGTGGTGGTGATTCTTCCCATCCCGTGTCCTTTTGCCTCTGCGTGCTGTTTACTTCCCCCAGTTTGCTAGGAATGGTGTGAATGGATCTGGGCAGAGGAAGGCTTGCCCGTTTCTCCTTTGCTGAGAAAACATAAACATCTGCTTGGTATCTCTGCTAGCGGAATTCCGGGTTGGTGCTGATGTCCAGTCCATTCAGGAGGAGGGGATCAAGAAGAGGATTGTACTGGCTGCTCGGGATAACTGGGCTAACTATTTCTCCCGCCTTTTCCCAGTTCATGTGAGTCTTAATCATCTCACCAGACCCTGCGTGTGCTCTGGCTGCCTTTTGTTTGGGATGTCTTGTTGTTTCAGTCCTCTCTTCCTCCCTTTGCCACCCATCACTCTTCTGAGCTTTCTGTACCTTTCTCTTTGCATATTTTCTTAACACTCATGCCCCAATTCCCGCTCCTTGCTGTGCTGTATTCCCTCCTGGACCATGTGGAGAGMAGGAATGCATGATTGGGATACCTCATGTGTCCTGCCTGTTGTCGCCCTTCCCTTATAGGGTGAAAATGGAAGTGATGTCCAGATCCTGGGGGTTTCTCACCGGGGCCTGCGGCTGCTGAAGGTGATAGGGGCGGCCGGCTATACCCCAGAGCACCTGAAGATCCTTTGCAGCTACAGGTAGGCAGAAGGGCTCTGGCTGCTGCAGGAGGATCCTTGTGACTCACGGGTTGCTTTTAGAGCAGTGAGTCGGGGGAGGCAGCCCGAATGGGTGAGCTGAGGTGTTCCCTGGTTGTACCATGTTCTCCAGGATTGTCTCAGCCCTGTTGTGTCTCACAGACCCTCCCTCTAATGAGTTTGTTACCCTTTCCTTCTCCCAGGGCATTTTGCTTAAAGTAGCTGACTGCTAGGCCTGATTCAGCACTACAGCTGGCCTCAGAAGGGAGGTCCTCAGAATGGGACAGCAAAACCCATCAGCCTACAGTGCTAGTCCTTGTGGTTATGAGTATTGGTGCGAGGCCACCTCTAGAGCATGTGGAGGCCTCAGGCCTCCTCAAAGCCCTRTCCCTTTGAGCTGCTGGTTAGAGCTCAGGCAGACCCTAGCTCAGAAGCAGCCTGAACGTGCTGGCCCTGTTCTCAGCTTTGCAGATGTGCTGTCAGTGGAGCTGAAGGGCAGCAACACCCTGGAGTTCTCTCTGAAGACAGAACAGCTCTTCCTGCACTCAGCAAAGGCTCGGCACATCAAGGCCATGGTGGACCTCTTCATTCAGGAGCTGAGGCAGGTGAGGCAGCAGCTGTGGTGCAGCAGGTTTTCCCCCATGGGCCCAACAGTGACACRGTCCAGCTCCCTTGCATCTTGGTGACAAGATCTGACCTCCCTGTTACTTTTTCCCCAGGATACCAACTACGTTATTGCTCTGCGCAGCTATGTCACAGATGACAGGAGCCTCCTGAGCTTCAAGAAGGGTGACCTCATCCAGTTACTGCCCATGCAAGGCGTGGAGCCAGGTGAGGGAGTTTTCCTGGGATCTGTAGAAAGAGGAGGACTGGATTCCATAGTCTGCTGGCCCCATGAAGCCMTGTGTGTGTCTGTCAGGCAGACCAGAGGGAAGCAGCCTGCTAGTGGCTGACACTGTCCACCTCTGGCTCTGCCATTCTCTGCTGGTGACCTCCTCTGCACCTGCTGCTCCAGCTGTAGTGGATGTTACCTTAGAAGGCTGGAAAGCCTGGTCAGAGACTAGTGCTCTTGTTTGCCTGTAGGATGCCTCAGTGCCCCTTTGTTTTTGTGGCTGCCATGGAGCCCGACTCCTCCTCTCCCTGTCCCTGCAGGTTGGCAGTTCGGCTGTGTTGGAGGCCGCTCTGGTCTCTTCCCTACCAGCTTAGTGCAATTGGCTGCAGCCCCTGATTACCTCAACACCAACATGGAYGGACGTGGCAAGATACGGAAGAACGTGAAAGCTCCCATGGAGGGCAGGAACACCAGCAAGGAGGTGGGGTGTCTGGGGAGATGAAGGGGGACGCGGCTGCGTGTGTTCAAGGCCAGGGATGGGGAAAAGWGAAAATCCACATAGATGGAGGCCCACCAGCACCATCATAATGGGAGAGGCTCTTTATACAAATGAGAGCTGCCCAGGGCTTGTAGGTGAGGCGAATGCTCATTGCATCAGTTGACCTTAAGTGGGTTTTGTGCCTGTTCCTGCAGAGCTCTGTTCCCAGCGTGACATCAGAATCCAGCAGCAGCATGTTTGTTCCTGTTGGTGATCGTTACACCATGGTGGACTTTGCCACAGCCCATTTTCGGGAGGCTCAGTCCCTGTAAGTAGCCCCTGCTCCTTCCTGAGCAGATGTATGGGCCTGTGTAGCCTGACCTGGTCCATCTATTTCTGTGTGTACCTCTTGGACTGGCTTAATTTCTGTTTTCTCTGGCTAGGTTGGGAGGGAAGGGTGAAAAGAAGAGTGCAGCTGACCTGGTCCAGCACACCAAGGTGAGCCCAGGCTTTTGCCATGGATACAGCTGGAACTGCAGCTGCTGAATTATTTCTAGCTTTTATCCATGGTGATAAAAGTGTGCATGGCAGATCATAGAATCCTTAAGATTGTAAGAGACCGTCAGAGATCATCTAGTCCAACCCCCCTGTACACACAGGGTCACCTAGAGCATGTGGCCCAGGGCTGTGTCCAAGCAGGTTTGGAAGATCTCCAGAGAAGGAGACTCCACAACCTCTCTGGGCAGCCTGKKCCAGKGCTCTGTCACCCTCTCTGCCAAGAAATTTTTCCTCAAGTTCCTATAGAACTTTTGGTGCTGAAGTTTGTGGCCGTTTTCTCTAGTTCTATCAGTGGCCACCACTGAAAAGAGGCTGCCCCATCCTCCTCACTCCCTCCTGTGAGGTATTTACAGACACTGATCAGGTCCCCCCTCAGCCTTCTCTTCTCCAGGCTGAACAGGCYCCACTCTCAGCCTTTGCTCATAGGGCAGATGTTCCAGGCCCCTGGTCATCCTTGATGCTTGACTGCAGCCTTTGCAGGAGTGCAGGTGTCCCCTGTTCTCTGGTGCTGTGTGCAGGGTGTTGGGAGCTTGTGTCCTTATTGAAGYTGCGATGCAGCTCTGTGCTGATCTGCTTCCCCTTTGTGCTCTGGCCCTGCAGGTCCCGCTCCAGGGGGCTTTGCTGCGGTACAATGACAGCGAGCTGAACGAGCTGGCTTCAAAGAACTTCAYGAGTAAGTGTCTCACCCTCTGCTGGGCTGTGTCTTGGGAGCCACGCTGAGCAAGATGGGCCTGGTGCTCACAGAGACCCTGGGACTTGGGGTGGGAAGCGAAAATTGTGAGAGGAGAGTCCCTCCTAAGGCACTTCTGCCTCTGATGGCCACATGCATCCTTGCTGGAAGCATACAGCACCAATCCAAATTCAGGGCAAAGTGCCTGAGATCCCACACTGCTTGGGTGGCACCTCACCCAGAACATCTATCCAGTGCAAGTGTAGTAACAGTCCATGGAGCAGAAAAGCCCTCAGGAATTCACTAGTTGACTGCCTGTCCCAGAGCTGAATCAGCTCTGCCAAGACCTAAATGCAGCCCTTGCTTTGCAGGTGTAATGCGCTTCATGGGAGACCATTCCAAGCTCAAGAACCAGAATGAGATTGAATGCATCTATGAAATCCTTCAGGTTTGTGACCCTTCCTTAGCAATGGTGCTGAAGGGACAGGGAAGGCAGAGCGCAGGGCGAGGCTACGACCTCCTGGGTGAGAGAAGAAACCAAAACAAAGAGGCTGTTAACAAACTGGACAGGGATGTGTGTGCAAACAGATGTCATTCCCTGGATGAGTACACAACCTGCCGTCTTCTTTGGGCCCAGGGAGCACTGGGGACCAGAGGCTGTGAAATTCCGCCTTTAAGCTGTGGTGGGAGGTAGGGATTTCCTGCAAGAGCTCAGGAGCTGGGAGGGAAGAGCCGCAGAGCAGACTGGGGGCCTCTCTGATGCTATGTCCCCTCTCCGAACAGCTCTGCAAGGAGAAGGAGATTCTGCACGATGAGGTGTACTGCCAGGTCATCAAGCAGGTCACCTACAACCCTAAACAGTGAGTACCTGCGCCGCCAGGTCCTGCGTGCATGGCCCCAGGGACACATCTGCAGAGGGACAGCGCAGAGGGGAGGATGTTCCTGTCCCAAGCTGCTCAGCTGCTGGGGCGTTTGCTGAGCACCCAGGAAGATTAACCTGTTTGTGGGGTTGGCTTTGTCACTTCAAATGACATCAAATCATGCTCTTGTCCCTGGCTTCTGAGGTATTTGGGCACTGGTAAATGTTTCTGGCAGCTTTCAGATGCTGCACTGCTCAGAGCCTTGCTTTCTTCCCCAGAGCCCTGGGTCCAGAAGTAGGACTGATGCTGCCCTGGCATTACAGTGGCTGTGCCCTTTGCTGCCAGAATAGGCTGGTCAATCCCTTCCTCATAAAGATACTCTGACCAAGAACCTGCATCTCATCTTTGCTGCCACCTCCCATAGGTTTTGAGGAGGCAGGGTTCACTCTGAGCTCCTTGGAGCAGAGATTGTCTTGTTCCAAGGTGCTCATAGCTTGTTCTTTTCCATAGGGAGAGCTTGATGCGGGGCTGGCTACTCCTAAACCTGCTTACTGGGTATTTCCTCCCTTCCAACACACTCATGCCCTACGCCACCAAGTTCCTGCAGCAAGCGAGCAGCGATCCCTCCAGCACCCACCATGGTATGGCTGTTTCTTTGCTCCTGAAAATCAACAGCTCTTTTCCCTGTTACTAAGTGCTCCTCCACTTGGTCAAGGAAAGAAGGGAGAATCTGGAGGGGACCTGGGCCAATGAGAGAATCGCCTTGATTTTGTCAATCAGGAGAAATGAGCAGGGTATGAAGGGAGCTGGGCCTGCAGGCAATAATCTGCTTGGTGTCTGAAGGTCCTCTGCTTCCAGAGGTCATTTCCTGCTTCATCCTGACCTGAGTATACCRTGGAGTTGTTGTGTCTCTCTCTGGGGCTCACTTAGTTTTGTGACACAGACCCCATTTGGCAGCTAAGCCCCAGAGTCAAGGCAGGCYGTGCTCTTCCAGAGCCATCAGACTGAAGCATTTGGGCTGAAATTCCTCCAGAGGAAAAGAAGGTCCCGTCGCTCCTGTGCGCTGGGCGCTGTCTGGGCCTGGCCTCTCAGGTTTTGGACGTGTCCTGATATAGTGGGGGACGGGATCAGGTCTCTTTCTTCTCCCAGCAGTGGCCCAGGTTGAAGTCAGAGCCGGGATGACCCCACACTGCAGCATTTGATGCTCGGCCTTCTGTCTGATGGAAGTTCCTTCCTTTCCTTGCAGACATAGCCAAGATCTGTCAGAGCAACCTGCGGAAAAACGTCATGTTTGGGGGCCGCCGGCACCTTCCTTTCCCTGTGGAGATGGAGGCGTTGCTGGTATGGAGGGGCAGAGGAGTGGGGACAGGAGGGAGGGCACGTGCTCTCCTGTGGGTGTGATGAGGTTGTGGGGCGGTTAGCAGTCCAAGAGAGGACATGAAGCTTCTATCAGTAAGGGGACTGAGGGATGCAGTGCCATGGGGTGGATATGGGCAGGGAGGAGGCCAGTGCTGTAGGGCAGGTAGGAGAAGGCAGAGGAGGCCTGTGTGGTCGTTGAGGTCTTGTGTGTCTTGCTGTCTAAAAGCTGCCCTTTGCAGAAGGGGCGTGGGGCCCGCCGACTCGTGATCTTCATGCCCGGAGGTGTCGAATACCTCACCAGAATCAAGACCTTTACTGTGAGTTTTCTGCTTTTCCTTCTGTCCTTGACCCAGACTCTGAGACATGCCAGGGAACTCCTTTATCTGCCCAACCCTCAGTGCCATGGTGCCATCACAGCTCCTCCATGTGGGGCCTGCACAGGGGCCCCCAGCCCGTGTCCCCGCACAGGGCCTGGAGCCATCCTGCCCCCCACCAGTGGGGCCCAGCCTGTCCCAGTGCTGCGTTGTGCTTCCAGACCCTAGTGCTTACCAGCTTCTCCTTGCTTCAGGTAAGCAAGGAGCTCCTGCAGGAGATCTGTGAGCAGATGGGAGCAGGCGAGCAGGAAGAGATCCGGGAATTTGCTCTCTTTGCCATCAGGAGTGTCGCCAATAACCCCGGCAAGTAGAGCGTGACCAGCTTCTCTCTGAACACTTGCCCAACGGGCACTACCGTGGCTACTGGTTTTGATAGTTTCCTCACCCTTGCTGGCCTTGGGGTGGTTCCTCTCCAGCTGTGTCCTCTGTACTGAGGTTAGGGATGGTTCCTTCTCAGGGGATGTGTTGCTTGTTCCCAAAGGATCCTTGTGTTTGTGTAGCCCTGTGGGTCTGTGAGTGTCCCTGTCCCTTGGGAATGGCTGATGCTGAGTGTTGCAGGGCAGGGTGGATAGGGGTGTGCAGAAAGGCTCCCCTTCCAGGCCACAGAGTTTGAATCAATTAGCTTTAAGGCTAATGACCATCTGTCTGCATTAACATGTAGTGAAAATGGTGAGGCCCATGAGACCAGAGGAGTATCTTCATGATTACCTGCTGGAGGACAACTTGATCACCATGAGTTTACGGAGGGTCACCTGGAAAACGCCTCTGCACTTTGAGAACAGTATTTATACTGATTTCCATTATGGACAGGTAAGCAGCRAAGGCAGCGTGAGCACCAGGAGCCTCCCTGACGTTTAATCACTTCACAATTTAGTCCACTTTGCTGTGTTCTCCCTCAGATACTGTGGGATTACATAAACGGGAGGATTCTGCTGGGCTACAGCAAAGAGGTGGAGATGCAGGTGAGCATTTTGGCAATGCTCCAGCACTGGGCCAAACCAACGGAGCAGCAGAGCCCCGTTCCCTCCAGGTACGCTTGTCTCCGGTGGTCTGGCATGGCAGGGGGCAGGGGAAGGGGCCTGGAACTACTCTGTGGATAATTAGGGAACAGACCATTGTGGTGAATGCTCTGCACTAACCACAAGCACCTGTGTCTGACTCCTGTCATCAAGGAAGTTTCCTCCCTGATCCTGCTCTGAAAGCTGATCATCCCTAATCTCCATCTCTGATCCAGCCCTCTTGAAGTCCCCAGCTTTATTTTCACCTTCGTTTCTTCCTGTAGCCTTGTGTGCTCTCACTCCAAGTGCTTTTAATGCTAGGTGTCTATCAAATCCCCTYGAAGCATCAGCCATAGGGGCTAACRGAATAGCCATGCCCCATAGAATAGCCATGGAATAGCGAGACCTCTGCTCAGGGCAGGGCTTTGGAGACAGAAGCAGTGGGGTGTTTTTCAGCTGCGACTGCCTATGAAACAAACACCCTGCAGTCCTCCTTCCACATTACAGCTCTTGCTTGAAGAGCTCCTGTTCTCTCTGGAAAGGAGAGATCTCTCTCCATGTACTAATGGGCGATACCCAGCTTCTTGTGGAAACCCGATGGTTTCTTTCTGTGATGTTTCCTTTCATGTTACCCAATTTGGACACAACCTGTAGAGCTCTTCCTTCTCCCTGCCATCTCTTTGCCAGTGAAAACTGCTTCCCCTCCTTGAAAACAGCTTCCCCTCCTTGCTGCCAGCTCCGTGGGCCGAGCCGTGTGCGGGAGCGGGCAGGGCTGAGCTGCTGTGYTTGCAGGGAGGAGCTCAAGGAGTACACGCCAAGGCTGCTGCGCTCGCGCCTCAGCGCCCAGGCCCTGGAGAGCCGCGTCGCCCAGCTGCTCAGGGCCCGCCGGCCGCTCCAGCCCCTGGACGCAAAAATCCAGTTTATAGGTGAGGAGACACCCGCGGCTGCTGGAGCAGCCCGCCCCGAGCACGATGGCAGCTGCCAATGAAGCAACTTTGGGGGCAATTCATGAGCTTGGCAAGGGTGGAATGGTCTAATACGTGTGGCTCTGACAGCCTGCCCCTGCAGAATGGCACTTGTTCCCAAGTGTGGGGCTTTGGTGCAGGTTCCACCTCTTGGGAAAAGCCTGCAAGAAACTTTCAGAGCCCTGTATGATTATGTTTCCATGCTCTGTTTCCTGCTCTTTGAAGAATAGCACCTCCATTCACTTGCTGCAAATACCTGGGACTTAAGGGAGGAGGGAGAAGTTGTCAATCTTCCTTTTTAATGTAGAAAAGCTTGGGGACACTTGCAGCTTTTGACTGTCTTAACTTCATGCAGTAGCTTCTGGCTGAAAGCTGCTGCCTGAAAGCCACTTTTTGCCTTCTTACAGAGCATGTGATGAAGGTGCCTCTCTTTGGCTACAACATCTACCTCGTGGAGAGAACCAGTGATGAGACGATCCCCCTGCCCTGTTTCTTCGGTGTGAATAAAGAACAGATGATAGTGCTGGACAGCGATGCCCAGGTATGCCAGGCAATTCTTCCTTCCASCCCAGAACCCTGATGCCTGCCAAAAATTAGCTTTGACTTTTAGAAGAGCCTGTGCAGGAAGAGACTGTACTTACCTGCATGACAGCCACTTGCTGTAACAACAGCTCTAGCCCAAAGCAAGCGACAAGCAGAGGTAGGACAGACATGTGTGGTGCCCTCTGTTCTTTTGTAAGCACAATAATCTCGGAAACAAGTGTGAACTGTAGTAAAACTGTAGCTGGGTCTTATTTCTGCCTGCCTTATCCCTGCAGCAGTTGTATGAACACAYGGGCAGCAGGAGCCTAGCAGTCATTCTGGCCCTGGTGCTTCTTCAGTATCTGTTGCCCTGCACCTCGCTCCTTGTCTCAGCCTTAAAGAAACTCAAGATAAATCCTGTTGACCAGAGAAGGTGGGTTTGTTCCTCAAGGCGGTGACAGGRTGTCTTTGTGTCCCGGCACAGATCTGCCGTGTCATTCCACTGAAGCAGCTGCAGAAGATGCGGACGCTGCGACCCTCCTGCGAGGGCGGCCTTCCRGGCATGGAGCTGGACTACGGCTCGGCTGCCAGCCCCAAGACTCTGTGGATTGAACTGGCGCAGGTGAAATGAGCAGCCTGGYGCCACAGTTTTCTCCTGGCAATTTAAGAAGCTGCCCTTCACTGCCCAGCTGAGCCCCTATCAGGAGACAAAACCACCTCTCTGCTCCCCTAGAGGTGGTTGGGGCAGTTTCCAAGTGCAGCTTGGGCTCCAGTGCATGATCAATTAAGCTGGTGTTTAATTATGGGAAGTTATTTATGGGAAGATACTTAATAATGGGAATATATCATTGAAAGCAGGAATTTCTGGGGCAGGATTAAGTAGAGAATAACTGATGCTGATTTGTGTTTTGACAGGCTAAAGAAGCGTACCACACAGTTGTTGTCATCTTGAGTCAAACTGAATTTCAGCACTAGAAACTGAGCAGAAACAGCCAGGCAGAAAAGCACCAGTCTCCTTTCTGTGGGCTTGCTCAGTGCTCCTTGCCCTGGGAAGGGCTCTCCAAAGATGTCCTTGAGCTCTGCTGCTTTCCACGACTGCCGCCCCCGTCACGGCCCCTTTGCTGATGGACTGGCTCATGATCTCACCTGTGTGACTTGCCATCCCGTCCCCGTGAGTCGTGCCCTTCCTCAAGGGGTGKTTTCACACCACTGCTTTGCCCTGCCTGCTCCAGCACCGAGCAGCTGAGCAGAGGGAAGCACAGAGGCAACTGCCTTCAGGCTCTGCAATGGGGSGATTGTTTGTCCTCTTTCTTTCTTTTCTGAATTAATCACGGGCACAAAGACTGATGCTTGCTGGAGMCTTTTGTATTTTTTGTATCAGAAAGCAAAGCCAGAGCTATGATACGACTGCACTGGCTGCTGGTATTTCTTTAAGATCATTTTTTTTCCCCTCTATCTTGATGTGCAAGAGATGCTCTACAGGAGGGTTTSTGAAGCAGGAGCTTGTAAAAAGCATCTAAATTACAAAACAAATCACTGTTAATATGCAGTWACTACATGTGCTGGGTCACAGATGGAGCTGCAAGGGTAAGGATGTTTATTGTTCATTAATTTCTTACATAATTATGTGCATCTTTTTCCTTCTAATATAAAGAACTTAGTCATGTCCATGCAGCTGTCGCACTTAAATGATGGCTCTGTGCCTGTGCAGAAAAGTATTCAAATGGAACAYTGTGTGTAGAACAGCACAGGATTGAGTCCTGGGTTGTATAAAAATGCTTAATTTATTTTTATTACTACAGCTCTCTTACTGAAATAAAAATATACCTGCCCTTTTAGGGAACTGCAATAAAATAATCACAKAATAGTGATTCTGCAGCTATGCAATGACAGATCCTGTTTACATATAACGTGAGAACACTGACCTGCAGGTAACTGGAAGAGCACAAGGAGAAGGATGCTGCAGTTAACAGGGAATGAACTAGGTGTAAGGAAGGTCAGTGCCAGCCCCAGAGCTGGCTCCTTGTGAGCTGATCCTGGCAGCAACCTGAGCCTTTTCTGCCAGGAACYTCCCTGCAAGTGCTTCTTGGTCTGGCCTTTCTCCTTCAGCAGTATCGCTGCAAGTCTAGGGCTGCACCACAGCACCAAGCAACACGGGAGAAGAGTCCTGAGGCTTCACTCATCTGTCTTCCCCTCTGCTTTTTATGAGCTTTTGCTTCCCTTCTCCAAGGATGAACTCTCCACCTCCTGAACTGTGGCCAGTAATRCAGGCCCTGTAAGGGGAAGGTAAAGTGGAAACTATCAAGGAACAGCTGAAAAGTACTTTTGTGTGTGTAAAAAGCTCTGTGTAAAGCTCTCTTGTCTTACCTGTGAGCTCAACTGCTCCTACCTGAACAAACTGAAGCTGAAAGTGGCTGTGAGTTAAGTATTTCTTAACTCCTGTTCTGGCTGTAGCTGGAAAAGTCCTGCAGCTACTGGAGCTGCCTCCTGCCACAGCCTTTCCCCTCAGCGTGGGCCAGGCTGGAGTTCATGAGCTGCCTGTCCAAGCAGAACGCTGGGGCTGTCAGGTTTGTGTGGCCTGTCTCCATGTAACTCGAGCAAGTTTGTGATAGGTGTAAGAAGGCTTCCAACATGACTCCACAGCAGCTATAACATCATTTTATTGTCAGTTCTGCACATCCCCCTCACTCTATTTAAAAAAAAAAAAAAAAAAAGTTGTGTACAAGTAATTCAAACACCCCTTTCTTTTATGGCTTTTGAGGTTGTAGATTCCTGTAGCAGCACTAGTACCTGAGGCCACCATCCTCTTGCAGGCACAGAACAAAGGCAGAAACCCAACAAAAACCCAACAGAAAGGACTTGTGCCTGGGCATCAGGTTCTTTAAAGAGTCAGGTCCTTACATAAATATAGCAGCAGAGGCAGCACAGCATCAGTTTGAGGGCCACAGTGCTATGTTAACCCCTTGTATCAGCAGTGTTGCCCTCTGTCCTGGATGCTGTGAGCGAGGCACAGGGAAGAGATATGGCTTTAGGGGGTCACAAGTGACTGCTGGAAAGGTGTCAGCAACCTTGGTGCCACTGTTAGAGAGGTTAACACTGAGAGGCATCAGCACTTAAATTGGAGGGCAGGCAGAACTGGGTGCAGTTAAAACAAAGTTAGGATTAAAACAAGAAGAATCTGAGCTTCTCTAGGCAGTGCTCACAGGGTAAAACCAAAACACTGCCCTCCGAGGGAAAATGTTCCATCCAGGAATTCAACCAGCTCCCTCCTTGGAGGCCCTGAGCAAAGCAGAAGGGGGTTGCAGCATAAGGCTTCTACTGGTAACACTGAAATAAGAACATAAGAAAAGGGGGAGCAAAGGGAGCAGCTACCTAGGGAGCAAGAGGATGTTATCCCAACGCAGCCTCCCAGCTGGAAAACGCGAGTCCTTCCCAGATGGCTGCAGGGAGCAGAGGTTGGAGGCACTACAGAACACCTGAGGCAGCAGCCCCTAACCTAGCCAGCAGCTGCAGACTCCGCACGTCCTGGTGAGATGTGCTGGAGGGCTTCAGGGCCCTGGTTAGCAGAGAAACGCTCTGAGTTCACAGAAAGTGGTTTCCTGAACACGTGTGTCACTAAGGTGACACTGCAGACAGAAGAGAACAAAAATGCAGGGGAAGGACAAAGCTCCCTGCTGCATTTTCCCAGAACTCTCCTTGGCCAAGTTCAGCAAGATCCCCTGGTCCCACCTGCTCCAGGAAGGGAAAGAGCCACCACGATGCCAAGATTATCCTTCCGAGCTCTGCAGCTCCTGCCAGTCCATCTCGCTCTCGCATCTGACCCGTGTCTTGAAAAATTCCTTGATGAGTCTCTGGGCTTCTTCCTTCACTGCAAGAGAAGCAGCACCACCACCTTAGAGAAGATACTTAAGACAACTACCCCCTCTAAAAGCTCAATGCACTTAGCATCAAAAGAGCCCAGGATCACTGGTGCCATCCCCAGAAACCAACTCACCAGTCTTGCGGGCCGGATTCTGCTCTTCAGTCAGGAGGTGGGACAGGTGCCGAGCAAAGCCCTTAAACAGATCCTACAGAGATGGGAAGGAGAAATGGCAGGAGGTTGAGAGCAGCTGGGTCACTGAGCCATTTCCACACTTGTTCTGCTTTAGTATGGGCTGGCTGTAGCACAAACAACTGGCACAAACTACACAGTGCTGTAAATYTGCAACTAGACCTAACCCCTCAGCGCTGGATGAGCACCTGCACATGCCTGCTGCCTTGCAGAATGCATCGGATAAGCCAGCTCAAAGCTGGACTTTATCTGCTTCTATTCCACAAGGTAAAAGTTATGAAAGTCTGCCAGAATGTAATGTGAACGCATAAAACACTTCTGAACAAGTATAGGACCAACGTGATGCCAATTTTTCACGCGTAAACTTCCCTGGGAGAGGCAAGTTACTGGACCCAGAGTCACAACAGTAGCAAATACCAACATTTAACTTAGCAGAAATATTCCTAGCACCCCTTTCCCTTCCTGRGGCCCCAGACTGGTGGGTAGATTCAGCAATGTTCTGCTAGAGAAAGCCTTGAAACGTGCCCTACCTTGGAAGCAAATTTGCCACCCTTGTAGAAGGGCGTCAAGTATTTGACAACGATGTCTGCAGTCTCTTTGAGGGACATGCCTTTGGTCACTGGCTGGAGGGTCTTGCTGGTTCCTTCCTTGTCGCACTGTGATATGTTTGGATCAAAAGTTACTTTCTTCTTTGCTGGACCAACACTTCTGCTTTCTGGCTGGGAGAGAATAGAAGACTTTGCTGCTGTCCGTAGCCTCTTAGTCGCAGGGCTTTCCATATCCTGGAGAGGGAACAGAGTAAAACCAAGACCATTGATCCACTGATTCCTGCAGCAGCAGCAGCAGCAGCAGCAGCAGCATTAGCCTTTCAAGCAGCTATTGCCTTCTAAGAACACAAATCTTTGTAGCAGGCTCTTCCTTTAGTGAACACCATGCAGGAATTTGTATGGGACTTCATTTTTTTCCCTTTTCATACAGGAAAGGGATAGAAAAGCATCTTCCAGGCTGTGTRCTGAGCATGATGGAGCCCTCGGGCACCATCAACGCAGGAGAGCTGCACTGCCACTCAACTTGTAACAGGAAGAGAGAACTACCCCGTCCATGAGAGACAGCTCCCAGGCAGTCACAGACCCAAATGCAGAAGCAGGGGCTAAAAGGCAAGGAAGGGTCTCCACGGTCTGCTGCTGAGTGGTCCCAGGGGCTGCTGGCCTGTGATTGTTCCCTTGCCTTGAAAAATCAACTTGCTAGTTATAGTTAGTTACCAGTCTAGATGGGATGGAGATGCTCATTCCAGGTAAGTCATCAGCAAAGGGCAAAACCCTGTTCATTTTGGGGAAAGGGAAGCAAAACAGAGTGAAGCGGGGGGGCACTGCTGTTTGAGTTGCTAGCACAGGTCCAGTGGGTAGAAGGGGCATCCCAGGAGGGTAACTCAACCAYGGTTCTCTCTACTGTGATTGTAGTTGGGCTCTTCCCAGAAAAATAACACTATTAGGTGAAGTTCAAGTGGGAAAGTCACTCCCAGAGAGAAACTTGGTACAAGCTGAGCAGAAGGAGCAGAGGAAAGGAGCATTCATCTGTTTTTCCATCCTACCTCATCTGATCCTGCTCTCTTCCCATTCTGACCTTCCCCAACAGCAGTTAGCTCAGCTTCTGTGACACTTTCAACAGCACTGGTGTGGGAAGAGTGGAGAGAAGGGCAATTTTTGTTATTCCATAGTAAAGACGTTACTGCATTCACTGTCAGTATCCTTGAGACTTTCCATAAAAAAGTAGGAGCCTCCCTCCCAAGCATATAATGCACAATTCTAACCTTCAAGGAGTTAGTGAAGCAATGTAGGGAGCACAGAGATGAGGATTACCTGGATTTGTCATCAGTTTCTGTTTGAAGTAGTTCAAATTTAGCAGCTTGCTGGGTCTTAGAGTCCTCCTCTCTCTCAGTCAGTGATCCTTCCAAATCCTCCAACTCTTTATCTTCTGTCAGGGACTGTCCAGTCACGTTCTCTCCAGAGACATCTTTGTTTTCCTGAGATACCAGTTTCTCTCGACATATGCTTGGAGAAGAAACCTGAGGTAGTGTCCTTGCAGAACAGTCTTCCTCTGCTGAGCTGCAACTTGTGACTTTAGATCCAGCTTTMCCGAGGGAGAAGAACTTGGAGATGTCCTGTGATTCTTTTTTGGCTGCTTCTGCCAGCATTTGCTGCTTCTTGCTAGGTTTGACCTTCTTAGGAGGGCTATCCCCAAGGGAAGCTTTTGTGTCTGAACTGGGTTGCTGTCCCTTCTTTTCAGGAAGGGGTACTTCTTCTGCAGCACYCTCTTGCAATGCATTGGTTGCTCTTTCCTTCTTCCGGAGAACAGGGATTTTGGTGTCCAGTTCCAGGTTGCAGGTGCTGTTCTCCTGCCCATTTGGACAATCATCATCTTTTTCATCAGGTTTGGCACTGCTCTCCTCCTTGACCTTCAGCAGTTCCGAAGCTGTCTGGAACAGGCTGGATTTCTTTGGAAACACAGCTCCAACGCGCTTGGGTTTGAACTAGGGAAAAAGGAAGGACATAAGAGCATTAAGGAGGCTYCATGTGCAGAATCCTGAAAGGAGGCAGCTTTTCACTTCCTTGCCAGTACTGTCACAGCAGGGCACAGATCCCACCAAACTAGGAACTGCCCTTTGAAATAGGAGGACTACAGGACCAGGGAAGCAAGTAACCTTGATGGGAAGGGAAAAGACAGGAGCAGGAGAACAGTAGAGAGGCATGTGATGAGGGATGCCAAGAGGAGAAGCCGTATCAACTCTCTTCTGCCCTGAACAACTCAGTGGATGTTGCTACTAAGGTAATTTCAAGTGACCAGACTGAACTAGGGTGCTGYAGCCACCCCATTCTGCTGAGGAGCATTTTCTCCTGATTGCCACTTGGAACRGGGCCAGCAGGAGATTAAAAGAAAGGGTTTTGGTTTTTTTAATGCTGTAGAGCCACAGATAAGCTTGAGTTCTAGCAGGAGCTTCAGCAGAGGCTGAAGGACTAGCGTCTGGTGCATTGTGAACAGCTGCAACTCAGCATCCTCACTGTGATGGGGAGAGGCACCTGAAGATCTGCAAGAGTGGTTGACTGATGGGAGAGGTATCTGATAAACAGGAGTAGACAAAGTAAGTTTACTACAAGACAAGTGTTGGAAAGAAATGTTTCCTTGAAATGTTCCCTTCAGCTGATGGGATGGAAGCCTCTTTGCAGCACCCCTGTGGGTCTCGAGGATGGAACACCTGGGTCAGGGAGCCTTCTCTTATGAAGACTGCCAGTAAAGGAGTCCAAGCACCGTGGCAGTGACTCCTGCRGTGTCTGATCCCTGCAGAAAGCCAACAGGGATTGTTCTCACACACACAGCCCTGCTGAAAAGACATCGCATGAGCTTTGGTCACCATATCTGCCAACGGATGAGGAAGGGGTAATATCTGCCAGTGGAAAGATTAGTGATGAGCAATGGGAGAAGTGAAGCCTGAGAAGCAAAGCAGTGACTAACAGGGACAAGTCCTGAGTGCACCCCAGGGCAGGACGCCATACACTGCATCAGCCATAACCTAGGGTGGGCTCTAAAAMTGACTCACCGTCATAATCATTAATTGAGCCATTAGGGAAATATATTGGGCTGAAGTCATAGGAGACAGATGTCATCCTTGGATACAGCAAGGTAAGAAAAACTTACTCGATGTGCATTTGATGTGTGATTTGACAGCCAAACTCCTCATTCCTCATCCATCCCATCTGTACTCACTCACCGAATAAACCTGAGATGCAGGGAGGAAGTCCTCTTCTGCTGGATGTCCAGACTTTGCCTCTGAGCTGCTGTAGCTACCAGTTCCTGACCCAAAACCTGAGAATACTTCTCCTTCTTTTGAAGCCTTGTTGATCTCTGCTACCTGAAGAGTAAACAGAAATGCTCTCTTGGGACTTGAAACGTTGACGTATGCCTGCTTCTGGCAAGACACGTGTCTTCCCTGGAGAGACACTTATTTCAAGGGTAGCAGCATCCTGAAAGAGACTTTCTCAGTCAGTTAATTCAAACTAAGGTTGCTGTATCATCAGTGATAGTCTAGGACCTCTGCAATCCCTTTATTGCTACACCTAGATGATATCTGGATAAGCATACACTGATATCTAGGTTTCCAAAGCCTATAAGGTAAAGCCAACAAAGATGTGAAACCAGTGTGATGGTGGCATCTCCTGGAAACAAAACCACCAGGAAAGACTTGGAAGACATCCCAGGTAAAGTAAAGTTGCTCTCTGTCTTTCCTGCATGCACTCTATGTTATTTCCCCTTTAGCTGGGGCTACCCCTTGTTTGGGGGTTAGGGAACACAGGAGACCTAGAGCCCTACCTTCTTTAACACGGTTGCCTTGTAGGAGTTGGCCATTTTAGTGGTTCGGAAAGCTTCATACTCCAGCTCCACAGCACAGGCGTGAGGGTCTGACCTGTAACACAGGCTGGGGTGATTTCTGGCAAGACACACCTCTATATCTGTAAAGGGAACACTAATGCTTAAACATCTCCCAGAAAGCAGAGAAAATCCACACCCTTTGGTACAAGGATAAATGGTAAATCCCAATTAAGCTCTAAGGTGACTTGCCGGGAAATGGAGCGGGTGGGGGAAAGAGATTTAAACAAAGTGCATGTCTTTAGTTGCTGGATTTGRGAAGTACGCTAACCCCATCTTGTGGGATAGGGAGGAATTGTGACTCCTAGAATCCATCTGAATTAGCAGATTTGGACCCAGGAATCCTCATGTCAGGTCTCATACCATTTTCCTGTTGCTGCTGGAACTTTCTGGTTATTGGTCAAAGCTTCTTCCAGCATCCTCAAGCAGTGTTCCCGTCCCTATGAAATACAGGATATTTACACATGCTCTACAGAAGTCATGATGCCCCCTGGACTTCCATCTCTGACAGAACAGGAATGGGGAAGGCAAACAAACATCTTTGCTCTCCTTTGTGAGTCAACAAGATTGACTGTTAAACAGTTRTTCTTACCTTCACTGTGAGCTTAGAGATTCTCCTGCTGGAGGCATCCTTCAAAGGGCAGTCTGCACCTACCACGGAAGAGACATTTGGGAAAGATGTCACAGCAAGGTCAGGGCTCATGGAGAACATCTCCAGTCTCATTAGCAGGCTGCCAGCCCAGGACTGCTTGGCATGCTCGTCCCTGCAGAGTCACCCAAGGGCCGCTGTAATCATCTCTTACCTGCAGAAGCTACAAACTGCAGAAGAGCAGGCAGAGGCTGGAGAGARATTTCTCCTTCTGGATGGGGATGTGTTCTTTGCCAGCTTACAACTGGCTGCCAGCTCCCTAAAAGCTCCCCATGCTAGAAGCCCTTTTTTTTTAGGCATCCTAATTCTTGGAGAACCCGATTCTCTCCCTCTTCCTTGCAATGGCAATGGAAATTAAACAGGCTGAATAGAGCAGCAGGAAATATCAATAGCTTAAGTACCGTGTTGTTAGACAGGGCTCCAGGTAGCACAAATGGAAAGTGCCCAGTTCCTAAGCAGTTTCCATACAGCCCTACTRATGACTGCTGCTACAGAAAAGAGGGAGCCTGCAAAGCAGAATAGACAGCATTTTCTTTCTCTCTTACTCATTTAGAAAGCTGTTCAGAAAGATGCATTCCATCCCTTCACCCTGAGCAGGCCTCAGTTCAGATTCATCTCCTCCAGCCAGGCTTCCCCAGCCAAAACCCTAACCTCTGTGCTTGGGGATTGTTACCCCCAGGGCTGATACAACATAAATCAGATGCAGCTGCAAAATACAAGACTCCCTTCTCCCAAAGAAAGCCCTCTGTAAATCAAAGATGATATTTACTTGGAGGATCAAAATCTTCCTTTTCTGGTTCTTTGCCCTGGAAAAAAACACAGAGCAGTCAAACATTTCCAACCCTGCAAAACACATGTAGGTCTACAAGCACACGAGACACGTTATCTCTCTGCTTCAGGGAAGATTAATGGTGGAATTATGAAGATGCTGAAAAGGCAGCAAAACAGATGAAGGGAGGCAAAGGCTGGGAATTCAAAGCCAGAAGTTCACTTTCACTATAGGAATGTACAGGAGAATCTGAATGGGAGAATCTGTTTTTGCTAATACCAGAGTTGCTAAAAACAACTGGATCCTCTTAATTAGCATCAAAGAGAGTTCAGTATGTAATTAAATTGAGTAAAAAAAGCAGAGGTGATTAGAAAAAGTCAGGACAACAAGGTGCAATGATTGGCTTTCAGCAGTGCCAGGAAGCCTTTAAGTCTTGCTTTTAGCATCTGTGCTGTGACTTTGTGTTGCAAACAGCCTGGGTGTCTCTTACTTTGCGCAGACTCATTTGCTTCTTGTAGAAGTTGTTCCATTCTCGTTTGCGATTTTCTTCGTTGGCTTCATCCCAATTCCCACTGCTCTCCTCATCGTCGTACCTGGACAAGGCAGGAGAGMAAGAGGAAAAACAATATTCCTACAGGCAGATGCAGCATGAGCTGCRACCCTGTGCAGGGGGACACCCTCTAGGTGGCCCTGCTTGAGCAGGGGTGTTGGACTAGATTTTCTCTAGAGGTCCCTTCCAACCTCAACCATTCTGGGATTCTGGCTGGGGCCCAGGCTTTGGAAAGCCTGGGTCGTCCTGGTATTTACAAAGAAGGGGAATTACAGATCCTTTCCGAACAAGTCCCAGCTCTTAGTTTTGCTGCCGTTCCTGAGCCTGGGCAGTGCTCCCCTCCGCAGAAYGCGACGGGATGAGGAGCAGGAGCCAGTGTCCTGACAATGCAGGGCTCTGTTTCAGAAGCTCTGCCAGTGCCTGCCATGGGYTGCGCAGCTGCTGCCCGCCCTCATGCCAGTTGCTCCTGCCCTTGCAGCATGGATGGCTGAACGGGCCCAGTATCTGTTCGTCGCTGCAGTTGTGCACACACTCATACATTAAATTAAAACACCTTCCCTGGTATTTGGAAATGTTGTGCCTTTTCCTTCCCAGATGCAGCTCAAGCTTTTACAGCCTTCTACAGTGGTCACAGCCCAAACGTCCAGGTACCACAAGTCAGAACTCCAAGGCTGGGAACCAGGACAGCTTCTGAGCTAAAGCCACCAGCGAGTCACGTACAGCATCAAGAACCCAAGTGGCAGACTGGACTGCGCTGTACMGCAGCAACTGCAAGTCCTGGCATCAAACACAGGCTCAGGTCACAAGTAGAGCTCAGCTGGAATAGCCTGCAGAACGAACCCACAGTAACTCTGCAGCTGCAAGAACAAATCAGAGGGCCGGGCAGCGGCTGGGCYGCGTGGCAGAGCTTCGCTGCAGCACAAGCCGGAGAGATCCCACCCTGCCTGACCTGCTCCACGGCTGCAACCCAGCCTGGCCAGCTCTGCTTATGGACCAGTTACATTCTGCAGGGCACTGCTTCACTCAACCAAACAGCTTTTGGCACCCTGAGATATGCACTTGATCAAGGCCGCCAAAGCACGTGGAAAACTAAATTCCAGCTCCTGCTGCCAGAAAGTTACAGGAAAATACCAGAAACGTGTGCTAAAAATAGGAGTGGCAGGGCCTGCTGCTGGAAGATGCTCTCTGAGAGCTCACGTGAGTTTAAGCTACCGCACACAGACCTGCTAAAACCTCTGCAGCCTCTTCTCCCTCCTTCRTACAGCTCTGGATCGTAAGTGTCCCAGGAGGAGCCGGTGGGGCCGATGCAGGTTTTGCTCCAGCTGCTGCTGCAGCGCTCCAGCGACTCCAGCTGCCGTTTCACTGCGCCCGGGTTCCTGCAGTAGTCGCAGCACTTGTTGCAGGGTGGCGTGACGTCCCCAAAGTACTTCGCTATGGCAGCGTGGCGACATCTGGGACAAAAGGGAAAGGGACCCGGTCGTTATTTTAATGGAAAGCACCAACCCCCAAGCACAGGTTGTTTTGATGAAGGTTTGAGCCTTTTTTTTTTTTTTTTTTGCCCAGGGAATGCTGATTCCAGCAAGAAACAGAGGGGTCAAACATTAGAGTAGGACTGGGGCTCTGGCACCCTGCTTATGGGCTCTGTGCCCTCCTTTCCCCACGTGTAAAACAGACAGAGGCATCAGTCTTCTTTGCAGAACACTTCCAGATTTTGATACTACCAAAGCCATAGTATAATAAATATGTAGTTATAAATTTGGTACCACTGGCCAAATATATTCAATGTAAACCCTGCCCAATCAGAATGGCTCTAAGATAAATATGCACAGAATCATTTTGGTCCCTGTGCCCCAGAGGTTAGAATATACCCTTGTATTTCACATGGGAGAGCTTCCAGTTTTACAGTTTGTGGTTTGGAGGTGAACAAATCTATGTTTGAAAGAGCAGGAATGTACATAAAGTCACAGAAATAAAGCCTGGACTGGCGCAACGGGGAGCACTATTCAGAAAAGGACGTTTGGGTTCTCAGCTTGCTTCAAGTCGAGGTTTTGGTAGAGTTCAACATCCATGCAAACTGTTGCAGACCAATCCGTTTGCTCATAAAACACTGCACCACAGCTCTACGAGCCTTAGCAAACCTGGCACATGAAGATGATTAAACTTTTCCAAGAGTCTTCAAAGATTTCTGGCAGACATTAACGCTTTGGGTTATGTAAAAAATAAAAATTAGTGACAGATTCATGCTCATTAGCAACACAGGCAGGAAACAATTTCTCTTCCAGAACAACCCTTAGTTAACCCAGTAATTTTGCTGGCAAATGAAGAACAAGGCAGACACATTTTTCAGCAAGCCCGTGGAGTTTTGTTTTGTTCTGCTGTTTTAACTTGGATTTCACAACAGAGATGGCCAGTTGTCCCTTAATTAAAATCCTGATACCGGACGCCCAGAGACACTCACTCCACCAGGCATTTTGAGCCCAAATCCTGCAGCCGGGAGGCACCAGGAGAATTATTTCACAATCAGGAAGGATCCAAGTGGGGATTCTCCTTCTTTACCAAGGTCTGTCCTCGCTGGCTTAGCAACCTGGTGTGCCAGACGCCTCACGGAGGAGGACAGAAAGCGAGGAGCGAACCCTTCATCCACTCACTCGTAGCGGAGGCTCCTGAAGTGGAAGCTCCCGGGGCGGGAGGCACATGGGGCTCGGCAGGGCCATGCACAAGGTGCCTGAGTGGCCGTCCCACGTCCCCGGAGCGGCGGCTCCTTCCTCCCCGCGGCCTGGAGGTTGCCCGAGCCGGGCAGGGACRCGGCAGGTCCCGGAGGCCGTGGCCCGCGCGGGGCGGCCGGGCGCCCAGGTAGCGGCGCAGGACGGGGCTGCGGCCGCGCGGCGCCGATGCCCGCAGAGGGCCGCCACAAAGCTCCTTTATGTGCCCCTGCGGAGCGGCCCTGACTCACCCGCCCCGCGCGCTCGCAGAAAGGGCTCCTTTCACAGGGCCGGGAAGGGGGGGACGGCCACGGCACCCGCGAGGCCCTTGTGCTGCCTTTCCCAAAGAGCTCCCGGCGCTGCCCGTCCTGCCGCGACGGGGGAACAGAAAGGCCAGCGAGCTGCAAGGCAGCCCTTTGTTCCCCGGGAGGAAAACAGGCCGCCGCGCTCAGCAGGCACGCGCTGCTCGGAGCAGGGCTGCCGGAGGCCGCAGCGRGGCCCGGCCCTCTCCCCGTTCGCCCCAGCACTCACCATGCTGGCTGGGCTCCACACGCGCCTCCCTGCCCAAAAGCCAARGGAGGAGGCCGCGAGCGAGGGCTGTGGCAGGGGCAGACATCAGCTCTGACGTTGCCAGGACCTGGACCTTCACGTTTGGGGCTGTCGAGCGGGCAAAGCCGAGCGCTTCTGGTTCCTACCTGTTTCTTTGTGCAGTGACCCAAACCAGGGCCACCTGGAGACAAGAGTATTCCCAAGGGTACCCACGCACAAGGGAAATTCACTTGCAAAACGGAGGTTGCAACCCCAGAAGTGCCGAAAGGCCCCAAAGAGGCTCAGTGACGGGAATGCTGGTGAACCGCCACGTAAAGGCTGCCCGCGGGCAGCAGGTCCTGATAACCCGGCTCCTCACGCATCGACACAGCGCGGAAGAAGCTTCCTAAGGAACTTGCCGAGGCCCCGGAGCAGCTGACARCGCACGGGAGAGGCTGATCTGCTTCGCATCAGCTGTTGGCAGCCTGCACTGTTGGCCACGGCCTAAACTCACTCCGGCCTTTGGACACACAACTTGACCAGGCGCCTCTCCCACTCTCGTGGCACTATGCACAAGCTGACCATGTCTTTAAAATGTCAAAAAAAAAAATATCTTTACTTCATTTGGAAGATCCTACCACAGTTTTACGTCATGGGATAGGATGAAAACCAGAAAACAATCATGTTTTGTTAGTGTGCTTTTTTTTTTTTCCTATGGCAATAAATTTCAGTGCTGCACCGACCACAGGGGCGTCTGCACCATGTCTCCTACCTGCTTTTGTGCTGTGCATGCAGTCCTAGCCCTATTCCTGCAATTCCTGCAAACAAATGAACCGCCAGGGAAGCCACTAAGTCACTCGCCTCCTGCAAGACATTACCAAAACATACCCAGAAAAAAAGAGTCCCTCCTCTGAGTTCAGAAAGAGTTCCCCATTTTGTGGGAAGAGGTCCTAGAAATAGAGCAAGTGTTGGCCAGGAAATCAGAGGATTAAAACACTAAAAATTATACAGAGATGAGTTACGTAGGTAGACAGCAACTGCTGGACAAAAAGCATTTAAGAAGCTCCATCGACTAGAAATGCAAAGCATGCGGCAGATGAGGTAGCCGCATTTTGCACTTGTCTGCAGGACTGCATCCTTTCAAACACTGGCTGAACTCCAACAGTCCTGCGAGACGGGAGCGCGCGCGTCAGCTGTGCCCAGCACACAAAAGGGGAAAAACAAGGGAGGGCGAGCGACTCGCCAAGGGCACGGASCAAATTCGCCCTGCGGCACCATCCGCGCTGCCCCGGCGGACGCTCCCGCTGCGAGTTCTTGCGCTGCTCCTTCAAGAGGCGCAAGGGAAAAGTTGGAAGGAGACTCGGGCCAAGTTAACTGCTTTAACACAGCCGCAAGGAGAGAAGGGATTCAACCCCCTGCGCCAGGAAACGATGCRAGTAAAGGGAAAATAAGGAGAGACTTGTGAGGGGGAGCGGAGCGGAGGGAGGGAGCAACAAGTGGCGGCGCTGGGCGTCTGTACCCGGCTCGGGTGGCTCCTCGCGCCCGCCCTCCCTCGCTGGCACACACAGTAACATGAAACTTCGCATCTCCAGGACAACCCATAACAAAAAAAAGGCCGGGACAACAGCTGGCTGTCAGCAGCGGAGCTGCGCGCGGCAAGCGAGGAGCCCCCGGCCAGCAGGAGGGCAGGGATGACGTGAAAGTTGAAGAGGACGGAGGAACCCCGAGGCGGGCGGCCGCGGGGCACGGCTGGGTAAGGCTGAGCTGGCGCTGGCGCTCGCTCGAGCGGGGCTCCTTCGCAGGCTGCTTCTCTGGGCAGAAGCGGGAGCTTCCAGAGCACTTYGCAGAGCTCCAAGTGCTCGCGGGGGCCCCGCAGGGTGAAGTGGCGGGAGGGGAGGGATTTTAATAGGGCTGCGGAGCGCGGGGCTGCAGCCTCCGGACACAGCGACTTCCCTGMCGATCCCGGCCGCATGCAGCCCCCTGGTGCCGCTGCAGAACAGGGCTCTCTGCGCCAGCCCGGCCCGGTGCTGGGCTTGGTGCTGCCCGCACAGGTGAGCGCGAGGGGCCCCACAGCTCCTCCTCCCTGCAGCTGAGTTTAGTTTAGAAACAAAGCCTGCCTGGGGAACTAACGCACAGTGCAGGTTAAGCAGCTGTGTTCAATAGAAATAAATGAGGAGCTTTTACACAGCCCCTAACGAGAGCACTTTAAAAAAATATGCAGCTAATGTATTGGGACCAGATGCTGGTTTACTATTTAAGAGAGCCTAGAAACAGTGCTCAGAGAGGATGTATTTCTCCACATATGTGGTCTGCAGGTAACTTAACAGTTAGAGTTACTGTAAGAGTAACATTAAGTTAGAGTTACTGTAAGAGTCTTACTGTTAGTAACTTAACAGTAAGAGTAACTGTAAGACTGTGAGGTCTGCTGGCATTGAGGGGGGAAGGAAAAGCAGCCTCCAAATAGACGAAAGCACCCACAGCCTCCCCCACCTCTGCTGCGGGACGTGGGGAGGGTGGCCGGCAAGGGCACCGGCTGCAAGGAGCCGCCTTGCTCCTGTGTGAAGCCCGTTCCTCTGTCTGGAAGAGGGCTGCTGTGTTCCCCGTGCCGCAAGGCTGGGCCTYGGGCAGCAGCGCAGGCACCCAGCGCCTCGCAGGCGGCAGGAAGGCTGCTCTGCCTCCCCAGAGCCATCCGAGCCATCAGGGTGCAGGAATGCCAAGGAGCAGGTATTTCCACTTCCCTCAGGCCCCATTAAGGTGGGAAGGAGGGCAGATCCCTGTGACGTCGGTGTGTCCGGTGAAGGCGGAGCTGGCACTGCCTGCGGGGAGAAGTCCTGGTTTAGCCCTGGTTTAGAGCCCCGCGGCGGAGCCCAGGCCCTGGGGAACACAGGGAGATCCCCATGGCACAGAGGCAGCGCTGGGGCAGCTCCCTGCAGTCATAATGGTGTCTTGAGAAAGCACGGGAAGAACAAAGTTGAGGGAGGAAAACGAGGAGGAGGGAGCAATGGGAGAAGGGCAGGGGGAGGCATGCAGAGAAAGGGGCCAAGTTCTCCTGGAGGGAAGAAGATCTTAATGGCTTTGGCCGGGGGCTCATGTAGCATGCTGGGGGCTGCAGTCAGCAATGTGAAAGACGTGTCTGGAGGGAGGCCGCCGGGCACGGAGAGCAGGAGTGGCTGCAGAGAGGAGGTGCCGTGAGCATGGGTGGATGCAGCCAATCCCRGGGGAATAGGACCCTCCGGAGCTGCCCGTGGCCGCAGCGAGGAGCCACAACGATCGTGATGGGATGGGAGACTCTGTCTTAGGAGGAAASACGAGCGAGCGGGGCCTGGTTGGTCTGGAGAAGACTGAGCGGGGTCTGATCAATGTGTGCCAATACCTGMGGGGAGGATGGAGGGAGGAAGGGGCCAAGCTCTGCTCAGTGGTGGCCAGTGACAGGACAAGGGGCAATGGGGACAAGTTGAAGCCCAGGCAGCTCCAGCCCCACRTGAGGAAGAGCTTCTGCTCTGTGAGGGTGCCCGAGCCCGGGCCCAGGCTGCCCAGGGAGGCTGTGGAGGCTCCTGCTCTGGAGATCTCCCAAACCCGCCGGGATGCGACCGGGTGCCCYGTGCTCTGGGTRTCCCAGCTGGAGCAGGGACTGGACTGGRTGATCCCTAGAGGTCCCTTCCAACCTCAGCCATCCTGGGATTCTGAGCTAGGGCCCGTGCGCTCCCACGGCGAGGAGGCAGCTGCTGTGTCCCGCGCTCTGCAGCCCCTGTCCCCAAGGGGCAGATCAGAGCAACGCACGGTAACATCTCAGAAATGCACGTGGTGTCTGCAACGTCGCGAGCAGCCACAGACGGGCACGGAGGCGGCTCGAGGAAGATGCAGCGGATATTTCCAGTGCTCTGTGCGGGGCCCCACATGCCTCTCCCCCAGCCCCGAACTGCTGAGAGCTGCCAGCGCGTTTGTGAAGCCGCTATTTACAGAGCTTAAACAGGCCACAGCTCCCCCTCCATCAGCTTGCTGGGAAACGGTTATTTTGCTMATGTTAGAATAGACTTTCAGGCGAAATTCAAGCAGCAGCAATGCTTGGGCCTAAAAAAAGTCCCCTTGTAGAACAGCTACAGATTTATTTTTAAAATTGACCTTTTCCTTTCACTGGATAACAGACCGTGGCTCTGTGCCTTGGTTTCCCCACTTCTTCAGGATGGGCCTGGCAGGGAGTCGTCGTCTCCTGGGCTTTGGAGGACTTTGCTTGGGAGATGGGCTGGAGGAGGCCAAGGGGCTCAGCGCCCCGGCAGCCACTGCCGGCGCCCAGGGCCTTTTTATATTAATCTAATACTAGGTTGTAGGAGAGGAAAGAGGCATTTACACAGCTACCTCAAAACCAATCTCCAAATAGTGGGTGGCAGAGATGACAGGGTGTTTCAGCCACACGGGCAGCCAGTCAGGGCTGCTCTGTCATCTCGGCCAGTTTTGGGAGCCTTCTTTTCCAGACCASCAGGCAAAGTCAAAGCTTCTCTCCGCTGACATCCAACTGCAATTTACTGCGCTTTGGGTGTGTGCTGTTAAAAAAYGAATTCTCTTGATACTGGGAACTATTTTCATCTGCCGAGGAATGATTATAGGTCTGGCTGGCTCCGTTTGCTCCTGTTTTGGGGAAAAAAAGGGCCTTGCCTGTGAACCTCAGTTAAGATTCATGTGGCCGGTCAGCTCCCGCCCCGCCAGCAAACGGCRCGTTCACGACACGGAAAACCCTGCTCCGATAATAACGCTACATTTCTATAGCTCTTTTCATCCCAGAAGCACGTTACGGACTTAGAACAATTAACAATTGTAGGAGGTTTATTGCATCCGTTGCCAAAATGCAGCTACCCTGTAACGACTCCTCACGGCCTGGGACAGGAGGCACCACGGACCTTGTCCATCCGAAACCAGGAGTATGTTCCAGGAACCAAGAACAAAGCCCGTGGGAACTGGCAAGACTTGGGGCATTCGTGTTCTTAAGAAATAGGTGTGTTTGCAGCTTGTTTGGAAGTTTTACACCGAAATAAACAGTATTCCTTCCCCGTCAGCTGCTCAGCAGCCGCCTTCTGGGAGGGCTGGGACTGCCTAGTGCAATTTCCAACCACATCGGCTACTCCAGGCCCTAGAGGCTTCTCATCCCTGTGCTGGTCCTGTTCCAATCAACCTTTTTTAACTTGTTTGAGAGCACCAAAAAGCATCTGCTTCTCCATAGCCAGAGAGTCTGGAAAACAAGGCGCTGTGCAGTGAGGATGCTGGAAACACCTCCCACGTGGCAGCGGGCACCGTGCAGGACATCCAAGCCACCTCCACAGGGACTTGCAGCATCAGGACCACAGGTGCTGGCACTTCTGGCCACGAGCAACAGGTCACAGCAGGAGAAAAACCCTACGGGACGTAACTACGTAAGCACAATTGAGCATGCAGGCCACGCTCTCATCTGCTTCCAAGCCCTGTGGGCTCGGTGACCGAAGCCTCACGAGCAGGCAGCGAGCAAGGGCCATTGCTTTTGATGGCTGTAACAAAACCAGCGACTTGCCTTCTTTCTATCTGAGCTTCTGGGACCGTTCTGAAACACGGATGCAGCCTCCGGTGGTGGTTACGGATCCTCCTGCTTCAGGGAGACGGGGACGCGCAGCAGGGGGTGGGATGGCAGCCACGCAGGGCGCAGGACCTGCCTGTCCTCCCTTCCTGTGCCAAGGCTTAGCCACAATCTGAAATTCATGTTTGTCATGCTCAGGTGGGCTGCTGAAAGGCCACCGTGCTGGTGACTAACCGAAAGTCTCATTCTTCCAGTTCTTTCATGCACCTGCACGGACACACGGGAAGAACACAGCCTTCCCAGCCAGAAACACTCAAAAACTGCTTAAMTTTCACCAGTTCCAGAACATGGATAGCAATTGGACTAGCCTAAGGCAGACAGAGGGATGTGGACCCACGTCATCCCAAAGCTTTCTTGGTGACACRCAGAAGCCCCCGCGTGCAATAGAGCTGCGGTACCAAGACACCCTGAGCAAAGCTTTTGCCTCAGTATCTAGGATGAAGCATCTTAATAAATGGACAAAGCATTTTAATAAATGGCCTTGTTCTCAGCAAAGCTGAGCAACCAACACCTGTGTGCTTCAGTATGGTCCATTCAGGTCCATTAAAGCAGAGCAGGAGGACACAGATATTCTCGGTGCCATCAGAGCAATTTTCACAGCTTTATCAGCAGGCCCAGCGGGATGAATAGGCTTTAAGCACAAACATTAGCCCTTCCTGAAACTCTGCACTACCCACTGTGCCACCACTGTGCTCCCTCCACACAAGGCTAACGGCTTGTGGCAGATTCTGCTTTATTTCCCCAAAAGCAACACAGAGTAAAAGATTTATTTTATTCTCTCCCCTGCCTGGCCCTGCAGCRTGGAGGGGAGCAGAGGCGTGAGCTGCTCTAGCCCCACTGAGCTGCTGTTTCTGAGGAACAGCCACAAGAAACAGCCACAGATCCTGCACTGCCACAGGCCCCCAGCTCTGTCCTTCAGCTTCCCTTCACGCTCTTTGCACTTAGTTTTATCTGCAGCAAGTTGACAACGTGCGAGGGACAACACGAGCGAGCTGCAGTGCCCCGGCTGCGCTAGCAGCGTGTCCGGACGGAGCTCCGGGAAGGGCCATGGGAAGGGAGAGGATCCCGCGCAGGGAATCGTGTTTCCTTCAGGCTCCCCAGCACCCGGGAGCCACYGGCTCCCCAACAGAACTCAGGGGCTGTTCCAAGGCTCTAGAACCGCAACGTGGCTTTAGAAAATAAACTGCCAGCTAAGGGCCACGGCCCCAAATCACTTCAAGATAATCCCTTTTTCATGATAATTATTATAGTTGGTGCTTTGTCCACTTCTCCTGCACCACCCGGCATCTGTGAGCTGGGAGCTTGCTGAGGAAAAAAATCACTTCTTTCTTATGACTCAACTGTGAAATCCGTAAGTAACGTCCTTGCTGTTGTGTTGTAGATGAGGGAGATAAACAAGCAGCCTCGTGTCTGCCCAAGCCGCACCGTCAGCACTAGCTTTACCTTCCTGCTAATCTTTAGGGTAGGATCTCCGTTCTGCTGAAGTGGATGGGAATAAGATCACGATCAAAACTGGCTCTGAGCAAAGACTTTAGTCACAAGCAGAACAGATAGAAGTTCACAAACGCAGATATGAGCTTATACATTTGTGTTTTGTTTTGGGTTTTTTTGAGAAGAGATTTATTTATTACCCTTTTGCTCCTCTCCGCAGGCCCAGAGCGGCGGCAGCGCTGGGACCCGGCGCCCAGGCCGGTGGGAGAGGATTTGCTGCCTCACGGGCGGCTCGGAGGCCGCTGCCGTTCCATCTTTGTCCCTGAAGAGGTTCAAACCAAGGCAAACAAGCAGCATTCCCTGCAAGGTCTGCAACGAGAACTGCTTCACTTTGCGCCAGGTGAGGCACTGTGGGCAGAGGAATGTGCATTACTTAGGAGAGAGAATCAAGCCAAGCTCCTGTCCTTCTACACTGGCCACTGTGTTCATCCATGAGGGATTAAGCAACCCCTCATCAGTAATTTTTATGTTTCACACCCAAACTTAGAAGTTCCTGCACATGCTGCTCCCGATGCAGCTTCTCCCTTCCAGGAGACCTCCTAGGCAGGCAGAAATACCCCCAAGGGGAAGAAACGTTTTTAGCTAGAAATACAGAGAAATGTATTTAAGGTTTTCTTTTAGAGCCAAGAGCAAGGAACACAGATCACTTCACCCCATCCCTCAGGATGGAAACAAAGCYGGAAACTTGCTGACACCAGGTCCCACCGCCCCGTGCAAAGCAAAGAGCAGCCAGTGCTGGAGCCGTTTGCTCGGGGTGGGGCGACCATCCGGAAAAGGCCATTTAACCCTAGTCTCAAAACGACCTCTTTCAGGGCAAAAGGCCCCGGCTCTGCCTCCCTGCTAAGCTGCACAGAGCTCTTKCTGTGGGGCTAATTTTCCATCCACCCCCATCCTGAAGAAACCAGCTGGTTCCGATTTTTATTCCTTCGCTTGGGTTTAAAAGAACAAAGAAAACCCTTTCTGCATTGCATAAACACACAAAAAGTAATTTTACTTGGCACTGTAGTATTGAAGCCCAGCATGCAGAGGAACAGCCAAGGTCTCTCTCAGTCCTCGATGTTTAGAAAAACTGAACTCCAAGCATCCCTTTGTTTGGGTAACCAAACCAGATGTGCACCAGGGAACTCCTGGTTCGTTCTGGGTCTTTTGCCTTTCTGCTATCACTAAAAAAAAGGAAATTAAATTGCAATATTTAAGTTCCATAAAACTGTGTTGACTATTACGACACGCCCAAGCTAGGAAATTTAATGACATAAGAGCCTTAATCCATCTGCATGTCCAAAAGCTTCTTTTAGGCAAGACTCTGCCTATTTCCCAATCTTCTGTTCCACCAACTGACTGAAGTGAAATTTTATCTTCTGTAGCTCTCCTGCAAGCTTATGCACTGTGACACCTTGCACAAATTTGCTTACAGGGGCAAAGAACAGCAAATATTGGTGGCAAAACTGAGGTATCTAACTTTGACTAGCTTAATAATGCAAATACTGTATTTGGAACACAATTTGAGTTAGAACTGCAGAGCTTTCTAGAAGACAGTTGAAAAAYAAAGTCAATTACTATCACTGGGAGAAAGTCAAGGGGAGCCCCTGTCCAGCTTCAGCTCCGTGCTTGCTGACCTAGGTGTCCTTTTAGGAGAAATACCATATTTTTGCCTTTGCATAACAGTGCAACTGCCCTAACAACCCTCAAAGCCCGGTTTTGAAATGCAAACTGCGCCACAATGTGCAGACAATTAATACTCCTCCACCTTAGCTACTGGGAGCAAGGACTGAGACCAGACAAACTTGTTTTCCTTGTGATCCCCAGCGAGCCCTATAAGAAGGCTGGCGGCAGCGGAGCATTAGCCCGTGAAAAGCTTTATCCTCCCTCCGTTTGTTTCTCTGTACAGCACGGAGTGGGAAGCAGGGGAGCCAGGATGTCTTCCGGAGGCTTTCTGAAGGAGCTGCAGGTCATTGGGGAGAAGCTTCTCCTTAAGCTGCAGCGGCTGCCCAAGGCCGACCCCGTGGAGATCGTGTGTTTCTGTGTCATCCTTCTGTTCATTGGTGAGTTTATCCATGGAGGCAGAGGGGGGTCAGGGTCTCTCTTCTCTTTCATGCCCTTGGGCTCTGGTGGCAGGCTGTGTTTTCAGTACTTGTTTTCCAGACCGGGCTCTAGAGCCCAATTTAGTTTCTAAGGTTTAATGGTCCGTGAGCATCTCTGCACCCACTTAGACAGGCAGCAATGGATCTCCTCTGTTCAAATATTAAACAGCAGCATTTACCCAACCCCGCGTTGCTGCACTGCTTGAGGTGGTTTGTGACAAGTGGCATGAGGGAGCTCCCTGCCATGCGAAGCCACTCAGGTGGAGGACACCAGTGTCCCTTCCTTGCCTACCTCAGTGGAAGCCGCGTGCTTCCAACGAGGGTGTCTGCTCACCTCTGGTCGCAGCAGGACCCTCCTGCCCTCGTGGCAATGACGTGGACGGGACAACAAGGCCCTGCGTGGGCTCGGGAGGATGAAGACGGCTTCTGCAGTGGGAAAACAAGAAGGAAGGCAGGCAGGGCCTCCCCGTCCCCGCCRCGGCGCCCAGAGGAAGGGTGTGCAGCCACCGGGATGCTCCTCCCCGCGCTGGAATCCAGAACCAGGCACACCTGCTTTGGCTTCTTTCTTTCCCCTACAGCTGCTTCCCCACCGGTCAGGTTCCCGGGAAGCTTCTAACAACCACAGGCTTTTAAGGAATGCAGACACACACACGCACACGTGCTCTTAATGCATTTGGAAGGGCTCAACGTGTCATCTTTTTCTCTTCCAGATAAACTAAGCCTTGGCCATTAGGGCTAATGCAGAATACCAGCAGGCTAGCTCACTGCCTGCAAAGGCCCTGGGGGAGTCACAGTATCCAGTTTCTCGGCCACTGCGAGCGGCGATCTGGTCAGTGAGCAGGGCCACTAACAAGCCAACAACRCCCCTATGGCTCTTACTGAGACCTGACACGGGCTGACATTTGTCTGGCTGAATGGATAACTAATGCAAAGGAGAAGAACTTGGAAGTAGGAAGGTAGAGGACAGAGGGCAAAAATAAACAAGAAACCAAGCTTCACTCATCAAACAACTTAGAAGAATCACAGGGCAATTCTCCCATGTTCTCTCTATGTCATGGCTCAATATTATTTTCTCCTCTTTGCAGTTACTGTGCTGGTGATGATGGTCATCGCCTGCAGCTGCTGCTGCTATAGCTGCTGTACCTGTGGTGGCCGTCCTGACCACAGGCGGAGGAAGATGCAAGTCCGCCCAGCTGCRCATCCGTGAGGTGGAGCAAGAGCTGCCACGACCTGCTACCAAGGACACGCGTGGCCATCAGGATTCAGTCACACCGGAATCACTGTCTACACTAACTCATCGAATATGGCAATAAGAGCATTAACGAACATGACTCAGAGGACCACAAATCACAGCCTAGACTTCATTCTTTATGCTGGGCTCCATGGTGTGACCACAAAGGTAACGCTAATGCCACCTGGCCGTCAGCTGGGGCRGAGTGGGGTGCATGGACACGCGCTGGCAAGAGAACAGACCCACTTCCCCTGTGACAGCCCTGCAGTTGGGCCAGCCAAGGAGTCCTCACGTGCCCACGGAGCCAGAGACCAAAGCAGAGAACAAACTGCCACGTGGCCAGGCAGTCCCTACCCTTCTTGCAAGCAGCTAACCCGAAGGATGGTGCAGGGCACTGGCAAAACCCACTGACATCACTGCGAGGGGCGTGTGCTCAGGAGGAAGCCCAAAGCTCTCTCKCAGAAGCCATGCACAACAGTGAGATGTTCTTGGAGAGCACGACAAACCTTCAGAGATGACGTGCCAAGCTGARGCTCCGAGTGCAGCTGGTCCCAAACGCTCCCTGCTGCTTTCCCTCTGTGTTACAAGGACGTGAAGCGGCCAAAGAGAACGATTCGATTGTGTGCAATATCAGTTGTCCTCACAAAGATGAAGGCAAGAGGGGAAAACTTACAGATGTYACAGCTTAACTTGATCGCTCTGCTACTGGCATGCTCCCTGCCACCCACCCTCTCCGTGCCATTCAGATCCTTCAGGAGTTCTGCTCTTTCTGCATATTGCTGGTCAATGTTTCTTACGGAGGATGGGAGTCACAGGGGAGGCACCAATTTCCACTGTCRCTTGAGGGACCGAGTGCCTGACTCCCTGCTCTGGGCGCAGTGTATTTTGGTGGACGTAAGCACTGTGCTGCAGGTGTGTTTATTGACGTACCCCGAGGCATTTCAGAGGTGACACACACTGTGGTGGGCGTCACTTCAGGGCATAGGTGCAGCAGCTGACAGCTGCGTTTTCACACAGCAGAGCCAAGAATGGGCTGCACAGCTGCAAAGAACAAGTGCAAATAAATCCCTTTTCCATGCTGCAGGCACTGTGTGTGTGTGGTTTGTGTTCTGGTGARCTCCAGAAAGAGGTTTTTGTAAGTACATGGCTAGAGCAGAAATAATGATATCATAATGCACCTATTCTCTAGGCTACTGGCATTTATTCTAGCCCTAAGCAGTTACAGTGTAACATGAAATCAGGCACCTCAAGCAGGGCATCTACATCATGTAGATAATCCATCTTCTGTCCTTGCGGTGAGACCGCTAAGCTTGGAGGAGTCCAAGGGATTGCACATGTATATACCAGAGCCAGCTTCCAGGTAGAGAGCAAAATCATCAAGTTTTTAAGYAATGAGCTTTTAAATACTCCTCCTAATTCAGGGGGAGCAACACAGAGAAAGCTTTGTAAAGAAACCTCTTTTTGATGCTAGCACCTGGATCAGTAAAATGAGCATTGCATCAGTAACTTATGCATACATTGCACTTCCATTTCTGGAAAGAAAACTAGATGTTGGTATTTTGCACTTTTGTACAATGCAATTTTGTGCAATTTGCAATTTTGCACAATGGTATAAATCTGCAACACAGAAGAGTTTAAAAATTAAGGAAAAAAAAAAAAAGAAAATGTTTTCATAGGAGATGGGCATGTTCTTAAGAGAGCAAAGATCTGAGTGACAACTGACACTKACAACTGCCAGAGAGAGGAAGATTCCCTAGAGCTGCTGCATGCACAGCCTAACAAAGGACTGTTTTTTAAAATGCTATCCCAAGGCTTTYACTCCCAGGAAACATGTGAGGGAAGGATAAGCTCAAGCATTTCATCAATCCCCTCTACATAACATTTAGAGATGCATCACACTGTGGGCCCTCTGTCAGCTGTGCTGCTTTCTTCATTTCATTTACAGAGAAGCGACACTCAAGGTGACAGGATGTTTTGGAATCCCTCTTTTGCAGGGGCTGGACTCAATTTAACAGACCTTTTTGTTTCTGAATTATGTCACAAGCCCTGTGAAAGAACAGAGATTCCTTCCTAGCTTGTGCTAGAACCTGCCAACTATAGGAATTAAGAGGATCCCACTGAGAAACGTTTCAGCAGCCTGGAATGGGGCTGTGCTAAAGCAGTCTGGAGGAAGTTCTCTGGGTTGGACACACATCAGTGYCTGACAAGCTGCTGTCACCAGGGACGGGCTCAGAGCTGCCAGGCTTTATCTCAGCACAAAAGACCACAATTGCTGGCTGCCCATGCTATGAGTTAAAGCAGACAACAGGCAGTGGGACAGAGGAAGTGGCTCCTCTCTTATCTCTGCCACTGCTGGTTACTGAATTAGAAGCAGAAGATAAACACACCATAATTAGAAAAGAGAAGGGGAGAAAAATGAAGCAGGGCTCTAAAGAATGCAGGTGCCTTTCTGGAGAAGAGGAACAGCCATCGAGTGCGTGACATTGCAGAGTAGGGGGTTCCTAGCTTGAATTCCACACACTTGCTCTGCTTGGTATTTCATCCTGTATACTCAGGAGGACTATTCCTAGAGTTGATGCATCTGCACAAGTGTTTGCTTTATTCTGCTAGCTTCTTGTATACAAGAAATCAGGTTGGCCAGGAAGATGCCTGGCAAATTTCTAATCCTTTTATTGCAGTTCTTGAGTTTCTGTTGAAAAGCCAGACAGCCTGAGCCCCTGCACACACTCACACAAGCGTTTGGTCTTATTGGTGTCACCCATTCTCCACATAAAGGGGCCTAGAACACCCTGAGCTCGGGTGAGGTTCTATCTTCTCACTTCCAAAAAGGAGAAGAAGATTCACATGAGCACAGATTGAGGCAAGACTTCTTCAACCACAGTAATTCTTGCACACATTGTAGAAGCTGAAGTGAGCCTGGAAGTAACTGCAAGGTGGAACAGTTACTTTGCTATAACACCCTAGTCAAATAGCTTATTTCCATGCAAACCTCAAGGTCAGCCTCTCCAGCCCTTAAAGCTTCATGGAATGGCTTCAACTCACTAACATTCTTCTGGTTTCAAAGTCATCTGCTCGGCTTGTGACAGAAGTCTGCTTTTATATGCACCTTTTATATGTTTTGAACATCTCTCTCCAGGAATGTTTTATTTGTGGGATCTTCCCKCTGATCTTCATCAGTTAAGAAAGCAACAGTGAGTCCATTTTATTGCAGCTAACAGCTGGGCAAGGCTCTGTAACACATGTACYCATGTAAATGGTCATGATGAAGTTTGGACTGGAGGGCAGTCTTGTTCACAGCTTCAYTTTTCAAAATGCCAGGCTCTTAGCTGAGCTTGTCCCTCAGATATAGCCAGAAAACCAAGCCCTCTTTTCTCCTCCACAAGCTGCAGTATCCCCCATTGTAGCAGGAACTAGCAAGATTCGGTCAGAACAGATACAAGCATGGAGAAGAAATGTTTAAATTACAGSTGAATTAAGCCTTTTTAAGCAGGCTCAAGGGCTTTGATTAGATTAGCCACACCTTTGCAAGAAAGCCAGCTGTTAATCATTTACTGCAATATAAATAGGCAATTTCCAGGTTGCTCTGTAAGTCTCTGGGTGTAGTTAGGGGATCTCACTACAGGCCAAAACCTTCCAGAGGGAGTGGAGCAGCAGCACCAGAAGCAGCCCACGCCACAAACACAGCAGCTTCAGGTATTTGGAAGCCTCTACGTAATCTTCCTATTTCAGGACTGGCTATGGAGAGAGGAGAGGGGAACTTTCTGGGGTGTGTGGTCACACTGGGCTCCTGCCTCTGGGTCTGCAGAGCGAGTGCTGAGGCTCTTCTGTCCAGGCTGCCTCCTTTTGTAATGGAAAAGGGAGCTATCCAGAACTGCCTCCTTGTGCTAGTATCCGTTGGTTAAGGAATGGGCAAGGTGTTCTGCCACCGTTCCCAAAACTAGAACGTTAACTGAATATTCTGTCTGCTTAGAAATAAAGAAAAGCTTCAGGAAAGTGGAGTATAAGCTTGTACTCCTAGTCAAAGGTGATTTGGTGAGGGTGAAGCACACTTGCCACAGCTAATCCTCTCCTTTTGTAGGATATTAAGGATGTAGACATAAGAGACAGCACATGGGCATTAACARTTTGAAATAATGAACATCTCTTCCTCTGTTAGGCCTGYGCAGTAATATAAGTGAGAGCATGARAAATAATCTTCATTTCAGAAGCTTTAGTAAGGAGGYGTTAGTAAAACCACAAGATGCTGGGTGTTCTTTAGGAAGTAGAGAGCTTTCTATGGCAATAATGAGAGCTGGGTCACTATGCAAAATAGCACTGTGAAAGTACAAGTGTGTAGAACCCCCTGAGATACTGGTTTATATTATTGTTAGACTTAAGAATTCACAAGAGTGGCCAAYTTTCATTTTTAGAGATCTATGCACAGGTATCAACCACGTTCTCCCACTGAATATTTGTCTCTATTGTGTGTAGCCCATGTGCAGTTCCCGGAGACAAAGGGTTCATGTTGACTATGCTGGGAGAGACTCAATTATTTAAAAAGTGATAAACTGTAATTAAAATAAATATTGTTTACCAAAATCTTGGAAGAGTGGAAGATTTCTGCTTTACTTCTCTGTAGATCTGCTCAGGCAGATCTAAGAAGGCCTCAGCTATCTTCCTTCTGGCTTATGCTCCAGATTCAGAATGACCCTGTCTCTTGGCTCAGGGATGCCTGCAGGGACAATGGCTGTGTGTTGGTCTAGRGCTATGGATTTTCTGCTCAGGGCACAGAGAGGATCCATCAGATGATGACATTGCTCTTGTCTAACTCTGGCAGGGGGGAAGGCAGCATGACAGCAGACCAAGAGGCATCCTCATTTCTGGACGACCTGAAGAGACGGATTGAAACAAGTGACTGGACTCTTGGGGGGCTAGTGGTGATCGGGGCCTTCTGTCTCCTCATCATCGCTCTGTTCTTATTCGCTGCCATTTTTGGGTGCTGCTCCTCTCCAAAGCATAAGTAGAACCATATGGAAATGGTGATGCTGAGTGTGGTGCCCAGAGTGTTGCAGCGCAGATACGTCCAGCCTYCTGTTTGTAGGAAGCTTCTCATCCACCTCTGGATTTCTCCCCATGCAACTTTCCTGCATGGAGTGCCATATTCCAGTGCTAGCAGGTTAGTCTGCAAATCCACAGCAAATGCAAAACCTGTGGCAATCCCATCCAGGAACTGCATGACCAGCTGAATGCCAGAGTCTCTGCCTTTCATCTTTCAAGCAAAACCAGAGGATAGAGATGTTAAACCATCAACCCTCACCTGAAATTGAAGATGCCTTCAGCTGCTCCAGGTTTATGTTTTCCTTCTGTCTTATAGCTTGACAACAGGGGACTTGTACCAGCAAAAGCTCCGTTTGACCTTTCTGTCTGAATGTCTCTTCTCCAAAAGCAGCTTATACAAATACTCTCCTGACATGCTCAGGCAATAGCCTAAATATACCATGAAAAAATTTGTCTATCYGAATAGATGTTTGTCTTCATTTCCTTTTAGACTCTTGCAAGAGTTTCAGGTTTAAAGAGCATCTTAGCTCCCTGYAATGTCATGTACCTACTTGTGGCTTATGCAAAATTACTTTGMTCCAATACAACTCTCGCAGTATGAGTGTCTGTTCCAAGACAACAGTATCACAGCTAACTTTAGTGACAATCTATGTAAGGACCCAGGAAAAAAACAGATGTTGAGACATTTCCAGGATCAGCATCTAACCCAGCCTCTCGTATCAGGTAAAACCCAGACAAGCAGCCATCTGGCCATTCTTGCTGTGAGTAGGTGCCATGCAACAGAAGGAGAGCTGCTTAGATTTCACCTAAGTGGATCAAACTCTTGAAGCAGGAAGCATCTTAATAGTTCCTTCCTCAAATCACCTTACTTTAGGGAAAAAAGTGTTGCCTCAGATAGCCCAGCACTTCCCGGCACGCTACGCTGTGCTCTATTTCAGCACGTGTAAGGCTATTACAGAACAATGCTGTAAAAACAGGATTTGTTTTCCAAACGTGACCAGAAACAGAGAACATGCTCACAGGGGCATAAGAAACACATGCCACATCCACCCTGAAAAAGCTGCCTTAGACACTGCTCTAAAGAATGAAACTAAATGCAGACCTAAAAGCAAGAYGACTAGTGTTGACTGTTTTCACTTAGTGAACACACACTGCTCTGTTACTGGCAAAATTATAGCTTTGATGTCTCATCCAGCCTAGCAATCAGTACAATTGCAGCTTACAAATCATGAGCTAAATCTGAGTAACATATTGCAGATGCTTGTCTGCGTATGGATTGGTCAAATCCATAATTTGAGCCTGTTTCTGAAGGATTCTAAGCACCATCAGCTCCTTCTGAGGTCAGTGAGAGCCAAGGATACCCCGTATTTTGCAGAGTGGAGCCTCTGAGATTCAGTGAAACATTAAAGCCAAGCACTTCCACCCTACACTGATGGTCTTCAGCTTGTCTGTCCCCTTACAGGAGACATGGCAAAGGAGTAAAAAACAGGGGCAACTGGAACACGGGTAATCCACCACAATAAAACACAATTCATATTAAGAGCCAGAGCAATCATAGTTTAATGTTAACRTGTTACTATCAGACTCTGAGGCCAGTATCTCAGTTAACTCAGGTGTGGGAGTGAGTAAGAGATGACCAAGTAATAGTTTCCTCACTCAAGARAAAAAGGATTGGGTGATTCATTCACCATTTTCTTTTTTCTGGTCTTGCAGTTACAGAAAGATCACAGCCATACCAGTGCCTTGGAGGGAAAAGGACTTAACTTCCCTCCCAAATCAAACAGTATTGGAAAGAAATGCACTTACCCCAGCTCCTCGCAGAAGTTGACTATGGCATCAAAGGCTGTCATCACAGCTTTGTCGGACTCTTTCAAGGAGCCTTTCTTTTCCTGGAAGCAGAGARGGATGATAAACGTAGTCTTCAGTTAAAATACAAACAGATATAACATCTCTAGCAACAACCAAGTCTAAYTCTCCTGAGCTGTGCAGCATAGAAGCAGATAACCACCCTTCTGCTCTGCATTTCTGCTCTTGTCACTTCTGCTTGCCCAGGTTTCTCTAGTAGGATCTGACAGCTCTTTCTCTCCCTTTACTCTCTACTGTTATTCCTTAACAGTATTCCTTTCCTCCTAAAAGAGGGCTACACACAGCTTCAGAGTCAACAGCTCCAGGAAATCATCACTGATTCTGTGCAGATTCAGACATTACAACAGGTAAGAAGTAAACCAGATCTGCTGGACACCATCCTGCACATCCTACCTGGATTTKAGAGAGCTCTTTCTTGATTAGGAAGCTGACTTGATCCCGGTCATTCCTAGAGTAATAGAGGCGGCAGCAGGATGGCTTCCCATCTCTCCCAGCTCTGCCAGATTCTTGGTAATATCCAGCCATTGACTTGGCAATATTCCAGTGAGCAACAAATCTGTGTGTGATAAGACAACAGGAAGCACATGGCTGCAGTATTCTCAGATCACTTTGTSCACTTCATGCAAGCCACCATGTCCCAGAGGCAAGTATTCTACAGATGGGTGTGACAGAAAATTAAACAGCAAAAATCAAGAAAACCTGTTTCTCTAAATGTGAACATTCCAGAAACAGGTCAGTCTGGAAGTAGCAAAGCCCTAGACATTTGTTCCCCACGGAGAAGATTACTGAAGGAAATAATAATCTCAAACAATGCCGCATTACCACTAAAGAGGATCTGATTCCCTCAAGAGACAACACCTCTGCTTTTCCCTTCATCCTGAAAAGTCACCACCAGAACTTGTAAGACCTGATCTTATACCTGAAAACATTTGCATGAATAAGGCCCTAAAATTCTGCCAACATGTAGTCAAGGCTAAGCAACAGCACCTTGTTCCCAGGGTCAGACTTTTAATTATTTAAAAAAATGCTTGTGAAGAGTCACTTTAACTTGGAAACTACCCAGGTTACAAGGGCATTTCAGTTAGATTTCACTCTTGTCAACCCCATGCATTTCAGCTACTCTTTGCTGCTTCGGTGTGGATTTTGAAGTGTAGAACATCAGCTCCTTATGGGGAGTTGCGTGAACTGCAGCTGAGTTAAGCTACTAAATGACTAAAAGATCTACTAAATGATGCATCTACTAGATGGCCTCAGCTTGCAGCACTAATACAGTCCAGCTATAATGTGGCACAAGGGTAATAACAGGAAGTCTAATGATACAGAGCAATTATGGTGACAGTTCCCACAGGAACAGCAATTGGAATCATTTGCACAGTTTCTAATCTTTGAACTACGGTAATAATTTCAGAATCCTTATTGTCTTGTGTGAACTGCTGTTTTTCCTCACTGCACTTTGCAAAGTTTGCAGTTTGTCTCCAAAAGTTTGTTTCCAGAAGTTTCCACAAGTTGGTTCTCCCTATTTTAATAGAGGGTTTGCAAACTATTTTAGGCAAAAATTTCCTTTCTGCTGCTTTCTGAGGGTGACATCAAGAGAAGTGAAACGGACAGCTGTGACTGGGTGGCTTTTCTTGCAGTCCTGGAGGGTGTGGTAAGAAGCATTTCTCCAATTTTGTTAGTTTCTAAGATGACTAGCAAACCTGAGCTCTGCTGCTCTGYTAGTTTCTTTACAGAACCTTTCCATATTTATTTTTGCTGCTTCTAAGGTAGAAGAGCTGTGTTTCTGTGGAATTCAGCAAGTGCTGATCAGACATGTGAGTCAGATGTGCCACGTAATAGAGATGGAGGCTTTCCCTCCCCRCTGCTGTTTTTGGTCTCCGGTGGTGCACCAGCCTCACACACCTGACATTTGCCTTGTCTACACCCATTCCAAAACTGATGGTTGCAACAATAACTGGGATCTTCTCCTCCATCCATTCATTCTGGACTGAAGTCCTGTCAGCTGCCTTGAGCCCTGGTAAGTGAAATGAGAGAATGAATAAATAAGAAAACAACAGGGTTAAAGAAGAAATAGAAGTATTCTCTTATTCTTCCACTCCCCGACTGCAAGCCAGCCCCATCCCTTAAAAACAGACTAATAAACACACTCCTCTCCGTCTGTGTTTAAGCTGGCCTGGGACCAAGCAGAAAGCATCAGCACCTGACTCTTCAGAGAGGAAAATCTAGCATCCTCCTGGGGCAGAAGCTGTTGTATTGAGCCATGCAAGACCTAGCACAAGTCAAAGTTGTGGAGTGGAGGCAATACTGTTCTGTGCAATGCCCTGTACTTTCCTCAAAGGCCTGTCAGCTCCAGTGTCGGACACATTGCAAACTAGGCCTAGAAATCTGCTCTCTGACTCACTTTGACCCACACCTTAAACGTGGCACAGTTCAATTTACCAGTTTCTGAGAGATGCAGACAGGGCTTCCAGTACCTGCGTGATAAGCCTTGGCTTTCACTCCTCGGTAGCTCAGCTCRATAGCCAGCTGGTCACACACGTCCCTCATTCTGCAGTACACAATGCCACAGCCTGAGTATACCTGTATGGACAGGACAGAAAATCCAGGACACTGTGATAAGCTAAGCTCATTTGCAAAGCTAAGGTCATTAGGACAGAAGAGATAACGGGGAAGCCTAAAGACTCAGTTCTTTTCCAAGCTGATTCCCCAATTACCAGAAGGAAACCAGACAGCGTCGTCATGAATCCTATGGAGCTGAAAGGATGTTCACCAAATACCTCAGTCCTTTTCCACTGCGTACAAGGTAAAAAACAATCGCTTTCCCTGCCTTACAGATAACAAACTGATCACTTGACTTGCTGACAGTTTGTCTGGAAATTAGTGTTACAGCAGGAAATTTAGCACTGCAAGTGCTTCAATTCACCCTTACTGTATTTTCCACACTAGACAATCCAAACTTACCCTGTTTGTCTGAGAGAAGAACTAAAAGAGAAATGTTATTTGCATATTCTGAACATGTGAGTTTAGAGCAACCCATTTCTAAGGTTGCTTTTGTTTGAAGTGGGCATAGCTTTACGTTTTACTTATTTCAGAGGAACCATAAAACATATGTGAAYATTTCTCTTCCAGGGACTTCTTCCTTCCCCATCACAGCCCTAAGAGGGCTATACTGACTGCAGCATAACTGAAAAATATTCTGTTCAATGCTGCCTTCTTCCTGCAGTGTAAAACCTACCCCAGTGCTGTTCTTCACTTCCAGTGCTTTCAGACAGAAATCCTTCAAGTTTGCATATGGATCAGTCAGGAGCTCCTTGAACTGCACATCGTAGAACAAGTTAGATCTGAAGCATGGAGTCTTAAAGGTGGCAAGAGGCTGCTTGAGCTTAAGAGCCGCCACAATGTCCTCCTGGACCTGCTTGGTGGCAGTGGCAGTCAGGGCAACGCATGGCGTGTTGGGTATGCGAGAGCGCAAGGTGCCGAGTCGCAGGTAATCAGGTCGAAAATCGTGGCCCCACTGAGAGACACAGTGAGCTTCATCGATTACCAGGTAGGACAAGAGGTTTCGGGACACCAGGGAGTTCAGCGTGGGCTGAAAGGAGGAGGCAGCTGCCATCTCTGGCGTTAGGTACAGGAGCTTTACTTGGGGCTTCTCACTCGCTAGGTCAGCCAGGATGGTCTTCTTTTCCTGGGCTGAAAGCTTGGAGTTCAGAGAGCAGGCTTTGATCTTCAGAGCCAGCAAGTGATCCACTTGGTCCTATATAAATTAAAAAAATACACAGTTAAAAGAAAAGCACATGGAATTGAGGAAAGTCAACCATCATCAAAGACTACTGAGAATATCCAGATGGGACCTAACTTCACCTCCAGGATGAGTCTCAAGACAAMATCCACATACAATCTGGCTATTTAGAACCTCATCTCAAGCTGCCCTTATCTTAAATTGCAATCAAATCTGTTCAGTTCTATCATCCACCTGTGTTTTTGTGTCTCTGTACTCTTTGAGACAGTCGTTTTACTGCTTGGGAACATCATCAGGAAAATCAGGAAATACCTTGCATACGTGCTATGTATCTTGTCATGTGCAGACTGAGTTGAAAGAAAAGCCACCTACACACCTCAGGATTTACACTATCAAGTTGTCATACACAGAAAAAGAATAACACCGCCCATTTGAAACAGAGCACATTTCATTTCAAAATATCTGAAGAAGTTTATAAACACAATTGAGGTAAGAYAGAATAAAAGGCTCATGCAAAGCACCACTGCAAGAGAACCGAGTCTGGATGAGAATCAGGCCTTGAAAACAAAGAATCATGAGATTCCATTCAAATGAGCTCTGGATATAGGAATTCGTCCACCTGTTCTTGCACGGAGCTATGAACTTGATTTGCTTTTCAAAAGACATGAGTAATCCTGAAAGATGGATACTACAGTTCACTCTGTAGTTGCTTTCAGTGATTAACTACCTCTCATTCCTAAATTTTCACACGCCTGCTTTTTATTTCAAGGTATGTGACATTCAGGCTGTATCCACTGATCTTCACCAGGTCTCACAACTAGATCGCTGCCAATATCCACTGCTTCCTGCTCACGAAGTCAACTCTCACTCTTCCCTATGTGAAACTAAACAGATTAAACTCTAAATTGGACTATTCTGAAATGCATCATGAGCATCTCRGGTGCAGACACCCTGCCCGAGGCCTGGATGAGACGACCTCAGAGCTCACAACAGCTCCATTCTGTAAGATTCTCGGAGCCCATCTTAGCATATTTGTCACGGACACGTTGTGCTTTGTTTTGTTTTGTTTTATCACTCCTGGTTCACCAGTGATAAAAAATAGTGCGTGTGCTGGAGCTGCTGCTAACTCCCCTGAAGCTTAATTAGACTTTCTCTCACTTGCAAAGAATTCACTATTTATAACTSCTTTCTGAGATGTGTCACCAAGTCTTAGTGCACGACGTAAGAGATAACAGAGGAATTAAAACAAAACAGCAAACTACAACACGAGATATCATGCAGTATTAAATTGATGCTATACAGAAGTTTATGTGCTGCTTTGGCTGCTCTTGCAGGGAAACATTTCCCCCCATAGCCAATAAAACAGGAGAGAAGGGAAAACAGAGCAGTTCTGCTAAAGCAGCTTCTTTCTGTGACAGAAAAAGAAGCCAGCAACAAAAAGTGTGATGCAGAACAAATTGTGCCTTCAAAGGCAACTTCACTGTTTCCAGAGTTGTTACTTCACAGGTAAAATGGCAATTATGTTCTGGGGAAAGACCCAGGCTGGTCCATCGAGGTACTGCACTTTGGTGCTTCTGTAGAGCACCCTGCCATAGGGGGGGAAAGAGACAAGTGGAGAAAACGGAGACAAAAATCAATTCCCTGCCATAGCGAGTATGCTTTCCCGCGGATAGCAGGGGCAGTTACCTGAATCAGGGCAATCAGAGGCGAGATGACAATGGTGATGCCCACGGCGAGGACAGCGGGCAGCTGGTAGCACAGGGACTTCCCGGCCCCGGTGGGCATGCACACAAAGACATCCTTCTCGCCTGCAAAGACAACAGGAGAAGCTCCAGGCGACTGAGCAGGGGCGACTCCCGRGAGGGATGGGCACAAAGGCTGGGAGAAACAGCCCTAGTGCCCTCGCTGCACGGCACCGCGTGGCACAGCCGCAAAAGACGCCTCATTTCAGTTTCTAAAAGCACAGCAGTACTGTGTCGGTCTGTGAAATATCCCCCAGGGAACCTCTGATCGCTCTGTAAACATACAGAAACACCTTGACGTTGAGGATGTACAGTAACCGTGGCCAGGAGCAATGTCCACATTGACATTGGTTGCCTTCAGGCGAGCTGCTTTCATTCACCCCACAGCCCTGCTACCAAACTGCCCATCCCCTGGGAGATCTTCATCGCATCCCGATGAGGTTTAGAAAGATCCCTCATGACAGGAGCTGGAAACACGTGGCAAACGTAGTCAGTGACCACCACTGTGCAGAGCGGCTCCAGATCAGGGAGATGCGAATGTGCACAGTGGTACTCACAGAATCCCAGGATGGCTGAGGTTGGAAGGGACCTCTAGGGATCACCCAGTCCAACCCTCTGCTCCAGCTGGGACACCCAGAGCACGGGGCACCCGGTCGCATCCCGGCGGGTTTGGGAGATCTCCAGAGCAGGAGCCTCCACAGCCTCCCTGGGCAGCCTAGGCCCGGGCTCGGGCACCCTCACAGAGCAGAAGCTCTTCCTCACGTGGGGCTGGAGCTGCCTGGGCTTCAGCTTGTCCCCATTGCCCCTTGTCCTGTCACTGGCCACCACTGAGCAGAGCTTGGCCCCTTCCTCCCTCCATCCTCCCCTCAGGTGTTTGCACACATCGATCAGACCCCTCTCCAGGCCAACCAGGCCCCGCTCGCTCGTGTTTCCTCCAAGACAGGTGTCCCCATCCCCTCATGATCGCTGTGGCTCCTCGGGAGAACATCCCGCTGGCATCGCCCCCAGCCACAGCAGGGCTTTTCCCCTAGAACTGTTCCAGCGTGGAGAGTTTCGGCCTCTTCGAGCACATCAGCGGTGCCTCCGCGGGCCCGGAGCGCCCCGGGGTGTCAGTGGGCGCTCCGTGCCGGCGCCGTGAGGGCGGCCTCACCTTTCGCCACCGCCAGCGTCGCCCCTTCCTGCAGGGGGGTCTTGAAGGCCTCGAAGCCGAAGCGCTGGCGCAGGGCGGCCCGCACGCGGCTCGCGCCGCCCCCGCCGCCGCCGCCGCCGCGCTCCTC